GGAAGTGAATACAATTCCCCAGCACTGCTAGGAATTGTATCAACATTTGGAAGACTAAGTGCATTTGTGTTAAACATGTACATTTATTATAACTTAACATGTATAACTTTTATTAATAATTAATTAAAATATACATATATTTGAAATCCAAACTCCTCATTTAACGATAAAAGAAGATTTTTAGGACAAAATGTAGATACATTGAACTGAATGCCACATTTACAGTCATGCATGAGAGTGGGCCACGGAAAACTCTAATGGAAAAAAAAATTCTGCTTATGAACACAGTTGTTGCTTTTGCCAGCCATGATTTCCATAATTTTCCATGTCGGCATTAAGCTGGACTTCAGATTCTCCAAGTGGGACTTTGAAAATCTCTGCTGCAGTGAGTTAACGCTCTCACGTCTGTATGAGGCTAGAAACTCTGACAAGCACTATCACTGTCCCTTAAAAAAACATCTAAATGGCCAAGCTTGCCACACAATCAGTTTCACAAAGAATGGAATCATGGGTAATATTGTATTGTATTGTAATATTTTTTTCCTCTTTTATCTACTTGAAGAAGCCCCTGTGGCAAAACGCGTCTAGATATTATTTTATTACGTTATAATAAAGAATTTTTGGCATAAAACACTTTATTGCCATTTTTCTTTTCTTGTCTTTCACCTGACTACGCATATTGCCTAATTTCAGAAGAAATTTAAAGAATCCATAGGTGGGGATTATACCACCCAAGCGCTTATAGTGAGCAGAATATACCTGCTCAAAAGAATGTGAGTAATATTCTTTTTATAATTTTAATATTTTACCGTAACACAGAGAGCACTATATATTTTATTTTTTTCTTTTGGGTCATTTGAAGTCTACTCCATATATCCTTGAGTGGGGATTATTCCACTTCACGTGCTTAACATCAGAGCTGGATCTTCAGCTCTGAAAATTGTGAGTAAGACCTATTCTACTATTTTATTTTCAATGTATCTACATACTGTACCATTGGAGTCCTGTTTCTTCTTCTCTCCACATATGTTCCACTGAATCCTGTACATACCATTATGAAGATTTGACCGTACTCCACACCTTAAAGAATCTTCCTTTGTTTTTACGTGGGATTATTCATCACGGACTTTGATAAATTTTGGACAACTATATTTTTATACATTTTTATACTTTGTTTTATATTTTATTTTAGTTCATATATTTTAGTATCCATTTTGGGCGCATCCTTATTGTACTATTTGTTCTGTGTTCTTAATATTGTACAGAGTTATATAAGATAACCATTAACCTCTTAACTACCAGTTACAGTTTTCACAATTATTATAATTTGGTTTCTAAAGATCCTACGCCAGCATAACATGTCCTGCAGATTTACAATCAGTGGATCAATGTTGTCCTAATGTCATTAAAGCAGCAGGACGTTCCACCCTGGAACATATCGAGATCGATGTAAAGATCAAATTGTTATGAAAGTATAGACATATTGGTCTTTAAGGATGAATTGTAACACTTTGTTTATTCATGTTTTTGTTTGGCAAACATTCTGATTGGATTGCCCAATAATACTGTCTGTGCTTTTAATAGAAAAAGGATTAATCTGCAACACTGTCATAATATTAAATCTAAATATAGTTTGACACAATTGTCATAGCACTTGAACCCTAACACGTTCAGCCCAAGAATACGGCACAAACCTGATATAAGAGTCAGTAAAATGCGGAAACATGAACTTCCACTTCAACAGACAAACTCAGACCAGACAGACAGTGGGTCGAAAACAGCAAGGTAACTGTCAAACAATTCACAAATAGTTAGACAGATTACCTGTAGAAGGCACCAGGAAACTCCAGTGCATTGTAGTATTTATGGTGCTAAGAGTGTCCCTTTAATGGCACACTCTTGGCACCGTAACAACTTAATTGGAATTAAGTTGTTATTGTGCCTGGATGTCAGAGCAAGAATATTACAGATCCTTTACCACCTCCATCACGCACACACCCACCTACCGGCCTGGAAGTCACAGCAGCCACACTGGACCACAGGGACAGGATCCACTCCAGCTCTCCAAAAGGTAGGGAGTATGGGTGGACATAAATTATAATAATAATAATAATAATAATAGTAATGATAATAATTTGTGAATGTGTGTGAAAGAATGTGTATGTGTCTGTCAGGGAGTGTATATGTGTGGGTCTCTGTCAGTATGTGTGTGCCTTAGTGATTGTGTGTGTCTGTGAGTGTGTCTCAAATTAGTGAGAGCATATGTCTGTCAGTGATGTGTGTGTGTGTGTATGTGTGACTGTCAGTGAGTGTGTGTATGTCAGTGTGTGTGTCTGTCAGTGAATGTGTGTGTTTGTCAGTGAGTATCAAATCAGTGAGTGTCTGTGTATGTCAGTGACATCTGTGTGTTTGTCATTGAGTGTGTCACCTTCAGTGTATGTCTAACAGTAAATTCTGTCAGTGAATGTGTGTGTAAATCAGTGAGAATTTGTGTATATGTCCGTGACTGTTTAAGTGATTGTGTGTCTGCCTGTCAGAGTGTGTCAAATCAGTGAGGGTCTGTCTGTCAGTGTATATGTATCTGAGATTGTCAGTGATTGTGTGTGTCTTTATGTGTATGTCAGTGAAAATATGTCATGGTTAAACAGTGTGTAAGCCAATGACTTTGTGTCTGTCAGTGAATCAGTGTATTTGTATCAGTGAGAGCATGTCCTGTCAGTGAAAGTGTGTGTTGGTTAAAAAGTGTGTGCCAATGAGTGTGTGCATGGGTCAGTGAGTGTGTGCTTAAAAAGATGAAGCACAAAGAGGTGGATTTCTAAGAGGAAAAGGTGGAGCCTAAAAAAGGAAAAAGTGGGTCTTAAGCAGGAAAGGGGGAGCATAAACATGAAGGGGTGGGTCAAATTTAGGTTAGGGGGTGCCCAAGCTCAGTCATGCCTAGGGCAGCACAAAACCGAAATACACCACTGTGCTTGAAGTATGTCTTAGAGTACATGTGAAGAAAAGCAAAAGAGAAACAATTTTAGTTTAGTTAATATTCACTTTAGTGAATAACCTCCTCATTTATTTTCCAACTCAACTATTTAAATCTAAAATTCCCTTAATAATTGCTTGCAGTTTCCAGCTTAATTCAATAAAACCTTACGGTGTTCAATTTTAAGAATCTAATATTGTGTTACGATTGGTACATCAAAAGCAAACAATGGCTCAAGAAGGGCCAAAAGACTCTTAACTCTTAACCATAGGGAAATACCTTAATTCCTAGAGTGGCTCTGTCACCTCATACTCACCTTTCTCTTATTGTTTTATCTTCGTCTTACCCAGTCTGTTCTTCTATGTATTTTTCCTATGCTTGACAAATGTGATGAAAGGGATCTTAAGTCAAGCTCCACTTCCTATGCCAAGATAATTTTCCCACAATACTTACCTCTATGCCGACCTTCCTCCATTGCTTCGCAAGATTTTCATCTCTCGCTGATTACTGCTCATGCGTGGCTGCGACCGTCTGCAAAGTGCTCTCCCATCGCATATTGTGGGTGAGAGAAGGCAATGGGGCTACGACACTGCCAGCATTTAGAAGATGGAGGCACTGGGAATGAGGATCCAACTCTGCGAGATTAAAAAAAACATAGTTGCTTTAATAGCAGAAACATAAATTATTTGGAAGCTACCTGCATGTTTCATAAAGATGTGTTTTATTAAACCATATTATCTAGAGGTGTAACTGCACATTATAGGAATATTTGCGCAATATAGATTGTTATAGCAGCTCTTTACTGTGGTCTAATGGTCTCAGTGCTTGGTACAAAAATTTCTCATTTTTAGCATCACAACCAATGAGTATGCAGCACCTAATAGAATTTTTCAGAGATTTACTAAACAATATATACATTAATAAACAATAATGAATACATAGTTACGGAAATCCCCATCACTTTGCTGTGTGTTGAACATTTAAAGTAGATCTTTTATATCTTTAGCATAGTGAAACAAAATGATCAAAATGTTAATACAATATGCCTGTATTTGCAGCTATACCACTCCAAAAAAACCACTTTTACTATTGTGAGAATTTCCTTTTTCCAACGCAGATATCCTGTCCCTGCAGTAGCTTGATCCGCCTCCTGTGATGTCACACCAACTCTTCTCTTTTGTCCAATTAAATGTTGTGGAATGTTGACACATGATATCTGGTGTAAATCAAATAGACTTGGCTGCAACAAAAAAAAGGTTCTGGCCAACATGGGGCAGATGCCGAAAACTTACCAGGAAATAAACAAGGTTAAAAAACAAGGATAGGGTTGGGGCGACTTCAGTCCACCACTGGCGCTCAACAATTCTACTGGTTTCCATGGTGATTGCTCCATGGAAAATTAGTACAAATTGCATTTTATACATATTCCCTGTACCACCATTATATTTATTTTCCTGAGCCTAGAAACATCCCAAGCCTATCTGTGCCATGAGCATTTCCAAGACATGATGGGCACAAATATGTCAAGTGCATGCATGCCATAGAGGCAAATAATAGAGAAAGCAGCAAATTCCAACTGTAACTAATCATGGGGCATTTTTCCATCTTTTTGTAACTTTAGGGTCCACGTGTGCAGACACTTACCAAATATTATTACTGGAAATTACAATAATAAACCAGTGAAAAACTCTGCAGGTGCATGAAATATACCGACACCACAAAAGGTGCAATAATTTGATCTTATTATACATTATTTTTACATTTTATAATTTTTCAACACACTAAGTTCAAAGTTATATGATTAAAAGCAGTTTAAATCTGCGAGCTGTCCTAAAATAGAACCGTACGAGGAATGTACAATAGCATGTACTGTACTTTGCAATATCTGGTGTCAGTGCTCTGTGCAAGGTTAGTGCATGCAGCGTGCTGTCCTGGGAGAGCACTGACGGTGTAGCAAGGCGTTCTGACTTGATGAAAAGTTTGTGGCTTACAACACCCTATTCCTTAGTGGTGATCTATGTGCCTTAGGGATAAGTCTCAGTTCATTTCGGCTGTCATCCAGGCACAAACTGAGCAGAACAAACATTGGAGCCTGGCCAGAAAAATCCTTTTCATACAGCCACCTCCTTCCCCTCCTTTTCCTAGATTTGAAATGACTTTACACAATACTGTATCTTCCTCTTTCAGATCCCTTAAATCATACCTCACTGAAATCTCAGTCTGAACTGTTGGCAAGTAAACGACATGTCTGGTGGCAAATACATAGATGACGAGGTAGGAATGGACATTGCTTGTGGCTTCTGTGACACTAAGCCTGCTTGCATGGAGTTGCTAAATCTGTGAGCACATTGCTTTCACTTTGTATATACTTTGGGTACACCTGGACAGTTCAGAAGTAAACTGATTTCTTCAATTCAGTGTTTTGCTGGTTTCAAAACGTTCCAGTTGCTGAGTGCGCTGAGAGAGAGATGTTATCTCCTTAAAATACTTTTAAATAATAATAATAACAATTTTTTAGGGGAGTAGAGAATGGAATGTTATCTATCCCAGCTAAGTGTTTATGTTCCCTTGGCACACTCCCCTATTAATCTTTTACTGAAGAAGAGGGGCCGGGGAGAGATATTTGCTTCTTGCAGGTGTGCACTGCAGATAAGTCTACTTTTAGGACAATGGAATGCTGCAAATCTTTTAGATGATAACTTGGAGATATTTCAAAATTAAAATGTGTTTTCTTAATATTTAGTGTGCACCCTTTCAGTACAATCATTAACAGCAAATTTTAGGCCACATTTTTTATATGTTAAGAAAACAAATATAAACTAAATTGTATTGGAGGTTATTTTCCAATTTATTTGTTCTTTTAAATTGAAAAAGGCGGTTGTTGCTTTTAATTTTACACAACAGATTACTATTTGATACATAGACCCCCAGTCATTTTTTGTTTATGTCTCATATATTAGGGATGTTTTATATTAAAGAATGCGATGGCAAGATTGTGGTGATTATTTTGTGCATGATCTCGTGTCATAAAGTGACCAATTAATGCTAGCCTTTGCTTCAAAATTGCAAAAACCGAACTGTGTATATATTTCACATCAGGCTTAGCAAATACATGTAAACACTAGCACTGATATGCTAATTTAGGCCTTTATTCACTAAATAGTGACTTGTGGAAAGTTAAAAATGTATATGCAATCTTTATGCCAAAATTTTAGAACTGGTGAAAACATATCCTATTTAGGAGAGTTTTTTCTGCTTGGATTGTAAGCTCAGTTGGGACAATGGCCTCCTACTTTAATTTATATTGGTTTTTTAACCACTTATGGTTTTAGTATAACTGTACTTACTGTACTTCTCTCTACTGTAGTGCAACCTAGCCAATTGAACATATTCATGACTCCTAAATAAAATATCCATACACTTTAATTATTGTACTTACTGTACCACACTCTCCTGTAATGTGACCTGCATTGAGCCAATCAAATTCTATATAAATTAAAAAAAATATATATTGTATAATTGTTGCACTTACTGTACCTCCCCCCACTTTAATGTATTCTGATTTGAGCCAATCAAATTGACCTGTTTTATGTAAAAATAATGCATACACTGTTTAAGCACTGTACTTACTGTATGTCCTTCTACTGTAATGTAACTGGCTACAAGACAAATAAAAAGGACAGTTGTATGTAAATTAAATAGACATACATGATATTTTCGCTTAGATTTTTCAAACAGGCTGCCAATTCACCAAAACTCATCATTTAACTAATAATCAAATTACATTTTTATTTTATTAAAATAAATCACTCATATACCAGGAATAGGGGATATTAAGACAAGTTGTTTAATTATTTGTTTATACTAATTAATTTTCTGATTAATCATTTTCATTTACTTGAATCTACATTCTAGACTTGATAGACAAAAGTAGGTCAATTTTATATAATTACGTCAACAAAGTGAAATTTCTCATACCAAACTATATGCTTTAGCAGGTATTTAATGTCACTCTATTACTCTTACATTGTAATTAGCAAGAGGTTCTTTACCATTTCATAATCTGCAATAATCCATTCTGTTATAAATGTATCTCCAACTGATGTTCGAATTTTGCCATAAACTGTAAGATAACATGCGCTAATAAAACAGAGGTAGACTTATCCTATATAATACAATCCAGCCCTGTTTGACAAGAAGAACATTGCTAAGGCCTGAATAATGAAACTGGGATTCACCACAAGCACAGATGTACAGCAGACGTTAAAAGAAACATTGGCTTTCTAGCAAAACCTTGTGTTTAAAGATCAGAATCAAGATGTTCGCTAGACTGGGAACTCTGAAAATCCTCAGTTTACCAAACAAACCTAGCAGTAAATTAGCTATCGTGGTCATCTGTTTGACACCAAGGCTATTAGGAATTCTCAAGCGTTGTATGTTCAAGGTCCATGATGGGGTCTGCGTTATAGGTGACAAAATCCACTGTGGGATCACATTAAGTGGTTTACCCTCTTCATCGTGATACCTTTAATTGGAAGCTCTTCATAAACTTCATAAATCACTCATATACCAGAAACAATAATTTATGCAGCTGGTTTACACATTTTATTTAAGATTTTTTAGGTGGTGTCCTGGGAATGTTTTATAGTTTACAAAGATATTTTGGGAACATGGAAATTCCTGTGGCATTGTTGTCTGATCAGGGCTTGGTTCCCTTATCTACTAAGCCATTTTAACAGCTATAACATCTGTCGCCACAGTGTAACATGTGAGCGGCATACTGTGAGTGCTAGCTCTTAGGGGTAGAACACTTGTAAAACTGTTGAAATCGACAATCATGGATTTAATAAACCATATTCTCCAGGCCCTAAACATGCCACCCAATTGGTCCAAACAGCATGAGAGTTTGTAAGCATGTGAGTGGTAGGAAGCACTGTGTGACAAGGGGAAATACTCTAGAGGGGTCTGAGAACCCCACCAGGTAGGATTTAGTAATCAGCTGGGGTGATGGTGGAGGAGGTGGGGGTGGGGTTGGGGCAACAGTGTGTCCTTGGACCTAGGCAGCACAGTGTGTTGGACCAGCCCTGTGTTATTTGTATTATACGGCCCCTAGTATCCAGTCTACATGCTTTCTATCCCCCTCATTCCTTTGAGTATGGCTGGAGGGCTGTGGGAAATGAAACAGAGAGGTTTGCAAATCCCACAATCTTCTAATTTTATATCTCCCCAGCGGCACAGAGAATATTTAACCCACTATCAAATAAATGTACTGCATGTTTAGTTATGTAATCGCTTCTACATTCCTGTTAACTCTTTCCGTGTCAATAATTTATTGTTTAAAAAATAATCCAGAATAGGTTGGAAGCTACTAAATACTCAGAGGCATGAAAATATCTTTTTACAGATTCTGCTAACCTGCAACTCCCAGTGTGGCTGAGAATGATGGGAATTGTAGGCCACATTAGTTGAAGTGACAATGACTCCCTACGAATGAGAAAAGCAATTGTTAACTATTTCAGAGCCATAACAATGTGTTGCAATCTACTTACTAAACTACTACTTACTAAACGTATCCAAGCTACGCCTATCTGAAGGTTTGCAGATATTATATTTATTATGTATAAAAGTATGAAAGGGAATTTGAACTGAAATTTAAATTTTTGTCCAAAATAGCCAAATCGGAAAAATTGACCACTTCTTCTGTGTTTTCAATTTGTATTTTAAAGTAAAATTTTAGGTTCATTTGAAATTCTTGACCTTTCACACTTCCGTGAATAATAATTTTATTAAACAGTATAACAAAACTTGGTTTAACAAACAGAAGGGCCCCAAACCGAAGGTTATTTTCTGTAAAAGCGCACAAAACAGAAGGAATTTGCACGTATTAAAGCTACGAGGATAATTAGAAGGTATAACTGAGTCATACTTGGCAGAATTTAGATGTGCCCCAAACAGAAAAACTGGATTTATCTTCCTCTAAAAGTATTTAATAACCATTTCGAATATAGACACACCCAAAACAGCAATACAAAAAGACACCGCGGGGCACATAATGTGTGAACAATAACACATTCATACATACAATGTCTAAATTACTAGTTGTCTGATATTGAAAAAAAAAACATGCCCTATTATAACTTGCAGTGCAGAACTTGTATCTCCAAGGTACCTTAAATTAGTAGGGATTGGCGAAAAAACACAGGATGGGGCCTACTCAAACTTCTGCGTCATGTAACGGGTTAATGCGGTTTGAAAAGCAACACTTAGTAACAATATTAATATCATTATCCAATACATTGGTCACTACACTACACAATAGAATTTGAAAAGGGTTTATTTACTAAACTGTAAATTGTAGTGCATTAAAGACCAATGCTAAGAGTTGTTAGAAAAATCCCAGGACAAACAGTTGGAGGGGTTAGGGCAAAATAAAATGTAACACTAGACAAGCAATGCTATTCACTGAAACCTGAATTTGAGCAATTTTCTTCTACTAAAAAAAAAGGTTTTATTTATGTTTTGCAAAACTGAGGCAAAATTAGCTGTGACTATGTCTGAGCTGGAATATGTTGCAAATCACCCAATGTATCCTCAATTTTCCCATTTGGATTTAATTTTATAAACCTATAAAAATGTGAAATCAAATTCTTAAACCATAGAAGACAGAACTGCAAAAGTAGCTAATAAAATTTACCCAGTTTGCATTATGGTTATTTTTATTCACCGTGTAGCTCACAAATTGTGAATTTTAGAAAACTTGGGTGCCAAGCCACAACATAGGAACTGCAATTTCTGTGAAGCCAAAATAGGAGAAATTAAAACAAATATCTACCCCAGCTCGGTAACATTAACCCCTTAGCTGTAATGGACTGCCTTACAAATAATGTTAAGCCATCCTTCTAGCTTTAAAGTTTGAGAAAGTGGATAACAAGAAGTGGAGAGCCAGATGTTCCCCAACCCTGAGTGTGTGCTGTGACAGTGAGTGAGCCCTTGATGATGGGAATCCCTGCTTTGTGAATCCAGTCAGCATGCAGGGTGTGGTGCCCAGGACACTGATCTCTGCGTGGAAAGTTTGTGCTGTCCTGCCTGGGTGTGACAGGGATTGCCTCTGTGGGAGGAGGTGAGGGGGAGTAAGGAATCCCCCAGGAATGAGGAATATTAATGCTGAGGTCTGATGACCCCTGCTGGAGGGAGCCTGTGCTCTGGTACAGAGGGGTGTGGTATTTTGTATGGATCCTTTTATAAACCAAGCCTTAGTTGTACACTGCAAAGCTCAGCCTGACAGCTCTGCTGCTTCCATCTATGGTTACACATTGCTAAACTGTATCTTTTTCTCTCTCTCTCTCCCCTTTTATCTGCACCCTCCCTCCTTCCCTCTCCCCCCTGCCTACTACACACCTCAATTCACCCCAGGGTGTCCTGTACACTACGCCTATTATACGAGATCAAGGGAACATCTACAAACCAAACAACAAGACCATGGCTGATGAGTACCTGAGTGAGAAGGCTGAGCGTGATGCTCACACCAAGGAGATTGACCTGGTCAACAGGGACCCCAAACACCTCAATGACGATGTGGTCAAGGTGAGATGGGCGTGGGGTGGGCACTGGGCAGAATATGCTGTTAATGTATAGAAAGGCATGAGAACTTCTGTAATTAGTTACAGAAACTTGCACAGGATGATAGGAGTTTGCCTATCACCGATATGATAGGTGCAACAGGCTTACACACTGAGGGCCCACCTATGTATGATCCACCACTCCCATGACGCCAAGTCAGCCTAAAGAGTGTTGTTGGACTGTAAAAAGTTGGTGATCTGCCTTTTGGGCACCCCTTGGCTCGTAATTAACAATTTGCTTCCTTCACATAAAAAAAAAAAAAAAAAAAAAACTTTAACTTTATTAACTTTGCGAATGTGTTTATGGATAAAATGTAATTCTGGGGCAACGTTCTAAAAGTGAAGCAATTAGTATAAACATTCCATTGGTTTCCATGGTGATAGCTGCATCGGTAGAACGTTGCCCCAGAATTGCACTTGATATGTATTATATATAAGACATAGTGATTTATGGAGTAGTTCAGGCTGTGAATTTAAATGTGTTGTATGTTTGTTATGCATCTTTTAAATGGAAACAATTGTGTCCTGTGTACAAGAACTCTTTGTAGGATGAAAAGTGAACCATTTTTAAATAGTTAAAATTATTTCTAAGTGATCATGTTAGGATGTCACACTGAGTTTGTGTCCTATTCCTACCAGCTCTGAAACATCTATTTTAGAAATACATTTCTGTGCAGCTTTATGATAAGTTTGATGTCCTCGAAGTGAACTAAGGGCTGTTGATGTATGATCTATTACTGAGAACATGTTCTGACATTTCAACATTCTGTCATTTGTCATGTTTTCCATTCATAAGGGCAACCTGTAAAAACAGTTTGGGGTTTGAATCCTGACAGGGACGTGTTTGTAGTTCCTGTCTATTCCTGAATTTGGAAAGCCATTCAAGTAGTATTCCAGGTGAAAGTCCAGGCGCACTTCCTTTGACACTAGCCTATTGCCAAATCAGTGGAACTTACAGCCCCACCTAAATTAACCACCATAAATAATGTGTTTTTATCGTTTCGCCTGGTACACCAGGATGATCAGAGCTGGATGTAAAGAATTTTCAGTTCATTAACTCACAAACCTCTAGATGAGCCTTGCCTTTTCTCATCCCCTGTTACTAGATAAAGGTCAGAGTTGGGCTGTGGTAGGTGAAGGGCCTGTAACTGGTGAGATAGAATTGCTAATTTCTTGGATGCCTTTACCTGGCTTGTGCTAATGGGTGTTACATGAAAAATGCTAGCCTTTTGTAACATTCACACGCTGCCTTTCTGTACACAGAAATGATGTGTGTCCATGAATATTTAGTAGATCTAGATTAGGAGCTATTAAACTGTTAATAGCTCCTGACTGATTCCTCTTCTGCAACTGTCACTAGTCTAATACTATCCTTACCTTTTTGTGTCATTTTACCCCACTCCATCTAGCATGTAAGCTCATTGAGCAGGGCCCTTAACTCCTCTGTTCCTGTGTGTCCAACTTGTCTGGTTACAACTACATGTCTGTTCGTCCACCCATTGTAAAGCGCTGCGGAATTTGACGGCACCCTATAAATATCATAATAATAATAATAATAATAATCTGTCTACGCTAGGTAAAGTTCTGCATGAGACACAGAACACAAATGTCATTGTTCAAGCCAATACTAGTTAGTACACAATAAACAAGAAATATTTTAACAGAAATATTAAACAAGGCACGGCCTACAGACCAAGAGTACATGTTATGCTCCTCCCACAAATACAGACTTTAGCCAATCCCCTAATTGCATCTTGGAACACGCCCTATGTCCATCCCTAAGTCCTAATATGATTGATATGACACCAAATCTTTGAATGATTTCTGAGTTATTAAGTCCTGATTTACAATGATATAAAACAGAATGTGAAATGCCCACACCTGCTGCATTAACCCTATTTCTGCTGTATTAACCCTTCACCCACAACATTAACCCTAAGCTTAAAATTAAGCCTGCATCCACCTTATTTAAACCTCACACTCACAGCAATACCACCTCTGTCCACTGTCCTCTATAATCAACTTCAAAAACGCTGATAGCACTGTCACAATGATGTAATTAAAGGTGTTACTCAGGGCTAACAATAATAGGGACCAAAATTAGATCTGGGGCTATCCAGCATTGCACTCTAACCGCTAACCCTGGTCAGCACCTTTCTTAGCAACACTCTTAAATAGTAGGTAGACACAGATGGCAACTGAATCCATAGTATCTACATCGTGATTTTGTGATTAAAACATTTTAAAACCGCGATATACATAGTTATTTTGGGATACAATAAAACATTGCTTCTATTCCACGAATTTCCTCATGTAGAGGTGGAATCAGGTTAATTCATTGATTCATTGTTACAGTGTAAACAAAATTAAACCTTACCCGTGCTGGACACACTCATTCATTCAAGAATACAGGCTATTAGTCTGTTTTAAAGACACTCGTGGTGACTAACTTGACTTGGTGTAACATTAAGGAACATTCCATTTACACTAGCAAATGTATAGATCAATATTTATTACAATATGCATACAATTGCATACTGTTTTGTCATGTACATACAATCAGCATTACAGTATGTCTGTAGAAGCTGAATTTGCAGTTGTTTCACAATGCACAATGCAATCACATCTCTCAACTCTTAGTATGCACAGTCACCTGCACATATTCTCTGATCACTGTCATTTTCTGACAGCCATCTCTCGTAATGGCTGTGGGAAAACACATTAGACTTTAACGTGAAGCATGAACTCAGTCATTGGCTGAGAGTGCTCAGATTACTCTTAGCCTGTGATTCCTATTGTGTTCTTCCTGGAAAAGGCCAGGTGAGGCCAATGCAGTGCTGGTGTCTAGTGAGACCTGGATACATTTTCAAACCGTGGGAAAATACCATAACCAATACAGTGGACTGGATTAAATTCAGATTTTTAAAGGCATTTGGTGTGAGTGAATTAAACACCAAATTGCACTATAGTATTGTACAACCCTAGGGACAGTGGTGTATCCTGGTTTTGTGCTGCCCTAGGCATGACAAAACTCATTGAGAAATGCTTTCCTATGGACTGTTTGAATGCGCGCGCGTGCGCCTTCCGCTCAACTTGGGAGCTGACGTCGGCGGGGGAGGAGAGGTCACCAGCGCCGAGAGGAGCCCGGCGCTGGATTAAGGTAAGCTGCTGAAGGGGTTTTAACCCCTTCAGCCCAGCGGGAGGGGGACCCTGAGGGCGAGGGTCCCCCAAGGATGCTATAGTGTCATGAAAACGAGTTTGTTTTCCTGACACTATAGTGATCCTTTAAGTCTTTTTAAGTCTTTTTTAAAGAATAACACTCTTTGGGTGGAGGCTTCAAATTGCATCCTTTTTAACACATTAATTCTATTTATAACTGAATTTTGTAACTTTTTTTTATATTTGTGTTTATAACACAGAGTCCTTAGTAATTAAAACTGAAAAAGAAGCAATCAAATGTATCTATATGTATTTTTCAAGTTAGAGCACTCTTGTTTAAGAAACAATAAAAAAACTGTTATCACACAGGTCAAGGAGGTACGATCAAATTCAACATCTATGTTGTAACTTTTTTCCCCCAACATTTTCCCCTGAAATTATATGTATTTCGTTTTAAACAATAACATTATATTTTCTAAGTTCCTGTAAGTTTTTTTTAACTACCGTAAAAATAAATTAATTTGTTTAGAGTTTGTGTAGATATTGCCCTAAGTTTCAGGATCGTAACGATGTCACATGAACTTAACGATTGAGATTTCATGACTGGCCGAGTAGCTGAAATGATGATTCAAACTTTCTTCATCGTTATGTAATCCTGTTAATAACATTTCATAGATTAAAAAAAAAAAAGTCTGTCCAGTTTTAAAAAGCCATGATATAAATTGATGCCCACATTGAAAAAGCCATGATATAAATTGATGCCCACATTGAATAAATAGACCACACCTTACATTTATTTTGCATGAATAAGCAATGTACTATGCCAAGCTTTTGCACGCATTCTTGATCTTGTGCATAGGTTAAAATCAACCTGCTCTAAACCTGTCTTATCTTGGAAGGTCATGACCTTTCATACCATATAGACCATTTCATTGTGTAGGCCCATTCATTAATTCTGCATGTAAGAACCTGGAGTATCAATTCACTGGGCATATTTACAGCAATCGTTATTATCAAACAGCTTTTGATAGTTATTATCCTGAGTCAGTTGAAGTTTTCTTCAAGCTTTTGACCAACAAGAAGATATATGTATTTCTTTAAATATTGACTGGTATGTGCACATGGGTGGGCATATTTACAGCAATCGTTATTATCAAACAGCTTTTGATAGTTATTATCCTGAGTCAGTTGAAGTTTTCTTCAAGCTTTTGACCAACAAGAAGATATATGTATTTCTTTAAATATTGACTGGTATGTGCACATGGGTGGGGGACCACAGCAAAAAAAAAAAAACAGTATAGAGGCACATGATAACTTACTGGAACAAGAGAGACCAGATGTAGTGCCACCTGTTATGCCCCGAGGTGCAGTTGGGTGATGGTTAATGTTATAACTATGATCAATCAGAAGTCTGTCAGGATGTGCCTTGCTCCTTCTCCCAATCCCTCTTCTGGGAGGAGGTTAAAAAATTATGAGACCCATAGGATAACTACTTTGTTCAACTCCTGTTCAGGGAGTGAGGATAAAATTATCATAGTAGTACATCTCTCACTCTTTATACACTCTACGTACACTATCTACAACAGACATCTGTTATCACAGCATGCAAAGAAGCCATGTTGTGTGTTCAGAACCCTCCCTCCTCCTTCTTTGCTGCTAGAATAGGAACGGGAAGTTTGACCTACAAAAGCTGCTGCACAGTCTGGGAAGAGTTTCGGGAGCATCAAAAAATTAATTCATCAGAAAAACTAAGCAAATGAGAAGTGAGGGTTTTGGGAGGTTACATTCACTGTAACATTTCAAAAAGAATGTTACCAAGTCTATGCATGGGATGTAAGTGGATGATGCATTTTTTCTGTGAGTGGACTGAAGCAGCTGAATGAAAAATCTGAACACATTCACTCACTCTATATAAAAACATTAAAAAGTGACATGGAAACTAAATGTACCTACATTACTTGGTAAAGATACATTCTATTCAGCCGCAGCCAGTCTGGTTATTTCTAATTACCTGAGCTCCTTATTTTATTAATGTTTATAAATTAAAGCAGCACAGAACGATGGAAATCGAGATTTACTTACTGGACCGGGAAATGTCAAAGGAATTTCATATGTTTGGCCAGAATAACTGAAATGGAAGAATTCTCCAACTTGTTCATTTATCTGCTAAGACATTTTGTCCTGACATTCGTATTCTCTAAAATCCCTGTTTAAGTAAATAAATCCCTTAGACATAAGATAGATATTGATTATAACATCTGATGGGGTTATTCACTAAACCCTGGATTTTTTTTATCCTGGATGGATAAAATCTGGTGAAAGTGACTGCATTCCAACCGCAACGGCAACTCTCATATTATTTACTAAAGTCAAATTCGGTCGGCCCGAGTGAATCTGTAGGAATCGCCCAGATGCATTTGATGCCTGGATTAAAATCAGTGCTATCGCATCCAATCCCAAGACAGTATAGGATTTGGAAGATTCACAAAGCACCAATATTGATAAAATTCCAGGAGGATGCACATTGACGAATTATCGATTACTTAAGTGAATGACATTGTATGTGCTATATGCTTGCAAACAGTGCAGGCAGCCAGCGGGTAAATAGCTAAAGCCTTTTATGGCACTAGGGTTATGTAATACCCATATTGACAAAGTATGGACTACTAGACGTACGCTTCTAGTGCTGAAGCGCCAGGAGCCGAAGAAGATCACCCAGAAGAGGATGGAGTTGCCTGTGATGGACAGATTCTGGTAAGTTAAACTCACCTTTCTCTGCCACCCCCCACCAACAAATGGACCGCAGACAGTGACAGTTCTGCTTTAATTATTTGGCTGCTAGACAACGCTTGCTGGACAAATAAAAAAGTATAGCAGAACCTCCCTTATATTAATATGGGGGCCTTATTGGCCCCTATGGGCAGTTTATTTATGAATTAATTTATTTCATTTAACCTTTTTAATGCTGCCTTAGATTTTACCCTGTAACTTTCAAAAAGACTATAAAACCTGTACATGGGGGCTACAATTATACTCCAGAGACTTTGCTGAACACAAATATTAGTGTTTCAAAACAGTAAAACATATCACAACAATGATATCATCAGTGAAAGTGCTGTTTGTGTGTGAAAATGCAAGAAAGTCACTTTCACTGACAAGATTATCACTGTAATATGTTTTACTGTATGTGTGTGTCGGTGAATGTGTGCGTGTGTCAGTGAATCTGAATGAGTGTGTGTGTCAATGAATGGGTGTGTGTCAGTGAATGTGAGTGAGTGCATGTGTCTGTGAATGTGAGTGAGTGTGTATCAGTGAATGAGAGTGAGTGTGTCAATGAATGTGTGTGTTTTTGTCTGTCAGTGATTGTGTGTGTGTCTGTCAATGAGTTAGCGTGTGTGTATGTCAGTGAATGTGAGTGTATATCTGTCAGTGAGTAACTGTGTATGTCTGTCAGTGAGTGTCTGTCAGTGAATGTGTATTTATGTCTGTCAGTGAGTGTCTGTGAGTGTGTGTGTCCAGTGAATGTGTGTGTCTGAGTGATTGTGCGTGTCTGTCAGTGAGTGCATGTGTCTGCCAGTGAGTGTATGTGTCTGTCAGTGCATGTCTGAATGATTGTATGTGTCTGTCAATGAATGGGTGTGTGTCAGTGAATGTGAGTAAGTGTGTGTAAGTGAATGTGAGTGAGTGTGTCAAGGAATATGTGTGTTTTTGTCTGTCAGTGATTGTGTGTGTGTCTGTCAATGAGTTAGTGTGTGTGTATGTCAGTGAATGTGTGTGTGTGTCATTGTGAGAGTGTGTGTATCTGTCAGTGAGTTTGTGTCTGTATGTCAGTGAATGTGTGTGTATATCTGTCAGTGAGTAACTGTGGATGTCTGTCAGTGAGTGTCTGTCAGTGAATGTGTGTTTGTCTGTCAGTGAGTGTCTGTGAGTGTGTGTGTCCAGTGAATGTGTGTGTCTGAGTGATTGTGCGTGTCTGTCAGTGAGTGCATGTGTCTGTCAGTGAGTGTATGTGTCTGTTAGTGCATGTCTGAATGATTGTATGTGTCTGTCAGGTTGTGTGAAATCAGTGAGTGTATGTCTGTGTGTGTGTATGTCAGTGTATCTGAGAGTGTGTGCTGGTCAGTGAGTGTATGTCTGTCAGTCAAAATGCGTGTTAGTTAACAGGAAGAGGTGTGGCCGTCCAGGAAGGGGCGGGTACATTTAAATTAGGGGGTACCTGACATCTGTCAGGCCTGGAGCAGCTCCATATCAAAATACACCACTGCCAGGAAGTAGCAGGACTTGTTACCTTATTGACAACTGGGTGGGTGTAACCAGGTTACTTTATAAAAGTGCCAATTTCTACTGAAATCTGCACTTTTATTTTTGCAAAATGAAAAAAGGAGGACACACTCTTCACTCATAAAGCTTTTCAACACGAAAACACACTTTAGGTGTCTGGAGTGTCCCTTTAATGATCAAACATCACAAAGCACAGCTAACTGAGTTCTGATTAACAAAGCGTCATGTACAGTATGTTTTAGGATAGGACTGATGCATTTTAAAATGAGTTCCCAGTTTCACATGCAAATATTAACTGTGCTACTCAATTAGCTAAATTCTTTCCAAGTGAACTTTTACACAAGTGCTACATTGAATGGAAATATTTGCTAAATAAGTAAACGTGCCCCTGCTGGGGACAATAGGCCACAAATTCTGTACTGTCAGCTTCCCACTCTGTAGTTTTGATGTTAAATTCCACATCTTCTCTTTGCCAAGTATTGTGTACACAGACAGCAGACACTGCCTTTAGTAAAAGTTACGAGCACTATTTTTCATATTTTAAACTATTTAATATTAAAAAAAAATTGTAAACTGTATTTTTTTATTACGATTTAACGACAGCAGACAGCAAAGGAGAGAGAAACAAAACAAGGTAGCACAATCTAAATATTTTTACAGCTGTACCATTTATTTATAGATGGTAAGCTCCTTTGAGCAGAACAGAACATCTGTAGTATTTTGTATGTCAACTATCTTTTTTTTAATATTCTCATTCTATGATTGTACAGTGCTGCAGAATATGTTGGCGCTATAAAAATAATATGTAAGCCTGTATGAAAAAAAAGGTCAAATTCTACACTAGAAGCCAGACCTTGAAGGCTACTTGCCGCTGTCTCTGGTATACTGACCAGGGGTGAAATTCTACTTGGTGGTGCTAAATCTTCCTTCACCAGTGGCTAGTGGCAAATGGAAATTTTGAGCCCTGCAATATATAATGTTGAAACTTGCCAATATATTATAGCTGTGATTATATAAAATAACACGTCAGCATCAACTTATGAGACATTTCTGATCACTAAGCAACATGGACCAAAGAACATTACAAATACTATATATATATATATATATATATATATATATATATATATATATATTGGTTCAGAGATTTGAAAAAAAAAGATTTCAAGGAAAAAGATGTTGAAAAAAATGGTTATTGCCATTTTATTTTTGAAGTGTGGGATGTAAGTATGGAATTCAAAGAGTAACTAATTCTGTTAGATCTTTAGACAGATCAGAGGGATTGGGCGCATACCTGCCAACATTTTAAATGGTCATTGAGGGACACTTTAATTTTAGGGGTGTGAGTGGCACTGTGGCCAGAGGCAGGGCTGTAAAATACATTTTAATATGATTTAGAACAAGAACAATGAATGTTATTTACACAGACTGATTCCTAAACACATTTGTTGTAGTTTAAAGACACATTACTGGGAGTATTACTGCTGTGGAGCTCTGCTATACACTCAGATACACTAACAATATGGAGCTCCTAGAAAAGCGGGTCATTAGAATAGAAAATAGGGACAGTGGGATTTTGGGCCAAAAATAGGGACTGTTCTTTCTAAATAGGGACACTCGGAAGGTATGGAGTAGGGTAACATAATCATAGGTATAATATAAGTTATGCGTTTTTTAACGTTATTTAACTTTGCATCATATACATTCTCAGAAAAATAAATAACACCGGTCAATATTGCTCATGGTCACTGGCAGAATGAGGAGACAGGACGCTTTTGCTGACAGGTGCATACATGTGATAGTTTGGGAGTTTTGAAGTTGTTAGGGAAGGCACAAGTGACCTCAGAGTGTTCTGTAAACAAACTTGTATTTTTGGGATCAGAGCTGTTGATGCTTGTACCATGGGTGGGTAGAGATAGGTGATCAATTGTATTATCAACTGCAGCACTCGTCACCTGGTCATTTAGTGGGGTAAGCATGATGGGAGTTGCAGTCTGCAAAGCTTTAAGTATCAGAGGGGGACTTTAGTGAAAGGATTATCAATTGAAGAGCTGCTTAGGGCAATTGTGTTTATTATCATTGCTCTTCAAGTGCTTAGTTGTCAGACATGCAATTTATTTCACTTAGACTCAACTAAATTAGCTGATGAGTCAAGTTTTCCGCACGCCCATATATCTCCTCTCAGTGTTTGAAGCAGCGCAGGTCGCAGCTACGTGGAAATATTCCCTTTAAATTAGTTATGTAACTGTTTTTGCTGCTAGAATTCCATCAGGTAGTGGTGAAACTTTGCTGCATAGTTGCCACGTTTTCTCTCTTTTAATTACAAGCTTGCTATAAATCAATCATTGTGTAGGAGCTTAATCACATATATTAACCTAAACTGGGTACAAGCACGCTTCATATTGGTGTAAATGGAGATTAGGGAGGAACTGACTAACGAAATGGCAAATTTTTGTCAAAATAGCCAAACTTGAATATTCTCCAGGCCAGCTGTTTTTGCAGCTAAAATATGGCCTTAAATTTTGCAATATCCTCGTCAGTTATTCACAATTCCTGGTTTAGTGGATAAATCCAACTGTTATTCTGACTCAGAAAAGCTGCACAGAATGCATATTCAGCCATTGTTTCAATTTATCAGATGCTATCCTGATGCATTCTGTGATATAGTTCGGAAGAATATGTTGATTCTATATAAATAATAAATAATTACTACACATCAGCAATTACCGATTGGAACATCATGGCGATTGCTGCTCATGTATGGTGCCCAGGGCCCTAGTGCATTGGATTGGCCCAAGATCAACAGTAATGGTTATCTCAGGAGAAGATGAGTGACTGCCATTGAGATAAGGACACAACATTGGATAAAGGGTAAGTTTAACTTTTCTTTAATGAAGGGCGGTAATCTAAAAGGGGATAAAAAACTGTAACATTATAAATAAATCTGGATTCTTTATGCACTGAACTACCGCCCCAGCATAAACCTAAGATAATGCATCTGGATTCCTTATCTACTGAGCTACCACCCCAGCATAGACCAGAGATAATGCATCTGGATTCCTTATCTACTGAGCTACCACCCCAGCACAGACCTGAGATAATGCATCTGGATTCCTTATCTACTGAGCTACCACCCCAGCATAGGCCTGAGATAATGCATCTGGATTCCTTATCTACTGAGCTACCACCCCAGCATAGGCCTGGGATAATGCATCTGGATACCTTATCTACTGAGCTACCACCACAGGATAGACCAGAGATAATGCATCTGGATTCCTTATCTACTGAGCTACCACCCCAGGATAGACCAGAGATAATGCATCTGGATTCCTTATCTACTGAGCTACCACCCAGCATAGGGCTAAGAAAACGCATCTGGATTCTATATTCACTAAGTTACCACCCCAGCATAGGCCTGAGATAATACATCTGGATTCTATATTCACTAAATTGCCAACCCAGCATAGGCCTGAGATAATGCATCTGGAGTCCTTATCTACTAGCTACCACCCCAGCATAGGCCTGAGATAATACATCTGGATTCTATATTCACTAAGTTACCAACCCAGCATAGGACAAAGGTAATGTATCTCTGAATTCCTGGTTCCCTGAGTTACCATGTCATCAAAGGGCCGACCTATTGCATCTAGATTCCTAGTTCCCCGAATTACCACCCCAGCACAGAACTGATAGAATGCATCAAAATCAGACCAGAATATTATTACATTTAGTAACGGCGGTAAAAATTTCCATCACAAGAAATTGGAAGTCTACAGTAGTAAGCAACTAGCCAGTTATTAATGCACAAATGACATACCAATGTAGAGGTATAACTAATTTTATTAACAATGGAAAAAATGAGCTCCCATTTTGGAATGAAATACTAAAGGAATTATGAGAAGAAACATAATATCATATATATATATATATATATATATATATACAGAATACTAATTCAGATGGGTACAATCTGGAGTGAAGCAGAAAAAAAAGAAAATGGCACAAGAATTTACAACAAAGGTCTGATCTGTATAGCACTGGCATCTATGTTTGTACTCGGGTGTTTACATTGTTTATAGTAGCACCTACAGACACCAAGTGACTTGTTTGTATTTCTGTTATGTGATATGTGATTATGTTGTACATACTTACATGTACGAAATAAATGTATAAAGAAACTAAATAAAAAAAAAAAATTCTATAATGCATCAGGCTTCCTTATCTGCTGAGCTACCACCCCAGCATAGGGCCGACCTGATGCACCTAGATTCCTAGTTCCCTGATTTACCAGCCCAGCATAGGGCTGACCAAATCCATCTGGATTCCTAGTTCCCCGAGTTACCAGCCCAGCATAGGGCTAAGATAATGTGTCTGGATTCCTAGTTCCCCGTGTTACCAGCCCAGCATAGTGCTAAGATAATGTGTCTGGATTCCTAGTTCCCTGAGTTACCAGCCCAGCATAGGGCTAAGATAATGTGTCTGGATACCTAGTCCCCCGAGTTACCAGCCCAGCATAGGGCCAAGGTGATGTGTCTGGATTCCTAGTTCCCCGAGTTACCAGCCCAGCATAGGGCTATCCGCCCACAAGGATGAAGTGTGTGTGTGTGTGTGTGTGTGTATAGTGGTTGTAGAATGAGTGTCATGGATGCAGTGTGTATAGTGGATGTGGTATGTGTGTCATGGATGCAGTGTGTATAGTGGATGCAGATTGTACGTTTTGTGTAATGTATGCAATGTTTGTATGCATGCATTGGATGCAGAGTGTGTGTGTAGTGAATGTAGGTGTGTATAGTGAATGCAGAGTGTGTGTTTTTGTAGTGGATGTAGTGTGTTGGTAGTGAGTGCAAAGTGTGTATAGTGCATGTAGTGTGATTGTGGTGAATGCAATATGTGTATAGTGAATGTAGTGTGTTTGCAGCGAGTGCAAAGTATGTATAGTGATTGTAGTGAGTGCAAAATGTGTATAGTTCGTGTAGTGTGATTGTAGTGAATGCAAAATGTGTATAGTTCATGTAGTGTGATTGTAGTGAATGCAAAATGTGTTTGGTGAATGTAGTGTGATTGTGGTGAATGCAAAATGTGTATGTGAATGTAGTGTGATTGTGGTGAATGCAGAGTGTGTATAGTGAATGCAGTGTTTGTAGTGAGTGCAAAGTGTGTTTAGTAAATGTAGTGTGCTTGTAGTGAGTGCAACATGTGTATAGTGAATGTAGTGTGTTTGTAGTGAGTGCAACGTGTATATAGTGAATGTAGTGTGTGTGTGTGTGTGTGTAGTGCAGTGTGTTTAGTGAATGTAGTGTGTGTAGTGCGGAGTGTGTTTAGAGAATGTAGTGTGTGTGTGTAGTGCAGAGTGTGTTTAGTGAATGTAGTGTGAGTGTGTGTAGTGCAGTGTGTGTTTAGTGAATGTAGTGTGTGTGTGTAGTGCTGAGTGTGTTTAGTAAATGTAGTGTGTGTGTGTGTGTGTAGTGCAGAGTGTGTTTAGTGAATGTAGTGTGAGTGAGTGCAGAGTGTGTTTAGCGAATGTAGTGTGAGTGTGTAGTGCAGAGTGTGTTTAGTGAATGTAGTGTGTGTGTGTAGGGCAGAGTGTGTTTAATGAATGGAGTGTGTGTGTGCGTAGTGCAGTGTGTTTAGTGTGTGTAGTGCAGAGTGTGTTTAGTGAATGTAGTGTGAGTGTGTGTAGTGCAGAGTGTGTTCAGTGAATATAGTGTGTGTGTGTAGTGCAGAGTGTGTTTAGTGAATGTAGTGTGTGTGTTTAGTGAATGTAGTGTGTGTAGTGCAGTGTGTTTAGTGAATGTAGTGCGTGTGTGTGTGTAGTGCAGAGTGTGTTTAGTGAATGTAGTGTGTGTGTGTGTGTAGTGCAGAGTGTGTTTAGTGAATGTAGTGTGTGTGTGTAGTGCAGAGTGTGTTTAGTGAATGTAGTGTGTGTGTAGTGCAGAGTGTGTTTAGTGAATGTAGTAGTGTGTGTGTGTAGTGCAGAGTGTGTTTAGTGAATGTAGTGTGTGTGTAGTGCAGAGTGTGTTTAGTGAATGTAGTGTGTGTGTAATGCAGTGTGTTTAGTGAATGTAGTGTGTGTTTAGTGAATGTAGTGTGTGTGTGTGTAGTGCAGTGTGTGAATGTAGTGTGTGTGTTTAGTGAATGTAGTGTGTGTGTGTAGTGAAGAGTGTGTTTAGTGAATGTAGTGTGTGTGTGTAGTGCAGAGTGTGTTTAGTGAATGTAGTGTGTGTGTGTAGTGCAGAGTGTGTTTAGTGAATGTAGTGTGTGTGTGTGTAGTGCAGAGTGTGTTCAGTGAATGTAGTGTGTGTGTGCTTGTAAGGATGCAGTGTTTGTGTAAAGGAGGGGGGAGGGGAGTATTTAAAAAAAAATATTTGTGTATATTTAAAATTTAAATTTTATTCCCCCCTCCCGGTTCTTACCTGGCCAGGGAGGGTGGAGAGCGCATTCCCTGGTGGTCCAGTGGCATGGTGGAGGGAGCCAGCCGCGTTACATTGCAGAGGGGGGCCCAGCAGCACACACTGTCTTCCTTTCCAGTTCCTCTCTGACGAACTCTCGCGAGACCAGCCTGCGTGCTGTGCGGAGCGTTGCCATGGTAACCTGTGGCAACGCTCTGGCGGCCGCAGGAGAGTTAGAAAGAGAGGAGCTGGAAGGAGGACAGAGTGTGCTGCTGGGCCCCCCTCTGCAATTTACAGGTAGGGGGGCCCTCAGTGCACAGATATATAGCGAAAAGCGCTATATATATGTGCACATAAGGAATGTGGGGTTCAGACTGCCAGAGCAGTCCGGGCCCCCCAGGACCGCCGGGTCCATGACAACCGTTATGGTTGTCATGCCCTGATGGCGGCCCTGATTTTTCATACTAGTACATTTAGTAAGAAGTAAAGAAAGAATCAATTTTCACCAAGTGTCTTTTCTGTAACTCACACCCACTTGCTGTTATAGTTTGCAGAGCCTCATTTATATGAGCAAAGTTTTTCCAAACAGTTGTTGGGCAGCTGCAGTGTCTGTTCGTTTCTGCTTTGGAAGCTTTCCCCAAATAATAGGCCAGGGGGAAACACGGAGTTATGGTTTGCAGTCTGTTTGTGGAAAATTGTAATGAAAAACAGTTTTACCAGTAAAGACCACTTTTATATTTATATGGAAACTGCAATTGCTCTGTATGTAGTGAAAAAATAAAATAGAATTGAGGGATACAAAGCAAGAAGCTTTGTTGTGGTTTACAAAGGCTTTGGAGGCACAACATTTGCAAATGTAAACTTTTACGTCTCTTAACCCATTGCAAACCACAAGCAATTTATTCTCCCAGTGATTTTGGAATCTGGGACACAGGTGTACTATCTGACTGCTTATCCAATTTATTTTGCTGCCCACTGATAATTTATGATGCAATATTTAATTTACTAGATCAAAGCTCACTTAGATGAAAAAAAATAAACAAAAAACACATGGTCTCCAGTACTTAAAAAAAAACAAAAAAAATTTTAAAAAAAGAAAGCCTGGCACACTTTTTGTATAGAATGTGGCAAATTAATAAAATGTGTTTTATTGCATTTTTTTTGTTCACCATAGCGATACACTGGGAAAGATTTTTCAAAGTGTTCTGAAAACATGCTGTTGATTTCCGTCATTATTAGAATTCTAGAATCATCTAAAAATGTATGGGTTTCTTCAGAGTAAAATCTGCCAGTTTTCAGAAATTTCAGAAAGCTTACAAATTCCGAGTAGTAGAATTTAGAAAAGAAAAATAGAATCATTTTATGTTGGAAAAAGTGGCAGAAAGATTGCTAATTCCATTGCAAAAATGGCATATATAGTAAATGATGTTTGGCGTGCAAAATTGCAATTACAATTATTTATATAGTGCCAACATATTCTGCACATCTATACAATAGGTAAGCAAGATAATTAATTCTCATAGAATATGTATTAGATACGGAAACAGTAGGTGAAAAAGGCCCTCACCAAATAAATTTAATCTAAAGAGAAGCAACAAATGAAAAAATCCAACAGTTAATAAATTGTGCTGAAAATTATACATAGAATGTTGATAAATTCCACCCATATTCTGTAAGACAGATAATGTAAGCATGTGTGAAATATGCTTGAAAAAGCATGCCTCCCGACATTGAGGCTCCTTTGGTGGTGCATAAAGGACCAATGTTGACCTAAGGTGCATGCGTGGCGAGGACTGCATTCTCATTCTAACTTTTTTATAGGAAAGCATTGAAGTATTACTTGGTCAGTGCTACGGAAGCCCAAGATGAGCTAAAACTAGCTTGAGATCTGAGCTTGGACCCACCGAAGAGCAGGCTAATTGAGCTGTTCTGTTCTCAGTACTCTCTTGAAACTTTTTTTTTTTTCAATCTTATTTACACAGACTGATTTCTAAACACATTTATTGTAGTTTAAAGACACCTTATTGTGAGTATTATTGCTGTGGAACTCTGTGTGATACACCGAGGCACACCAACAATAATGGGTTCCTAGAAAAGAAGGACATTATAACAGAAAAGAGGTGCAGAGGAATAGGATCCAAAATATGGAGAATTGGGAAATGTGAAGAAGCAATTGTATATAATAAAATCCTACTATGGGAAACAAGAAACAATCCTACTAGGGGTTGGAACTGCAGTCCGTGGCTGGTTTCTTCTCATAGAAATAAAAATCATGTTTTGAATTTAATGTTTACTTTTTTTTTTACTTTTTAAAAAAGCTGTGATTAAAACAATGTCTATTGCTAGGGGTATCTGCAGAAAAAAAGTCTGAAGTCTGAAACATGAGGCCTGGCTGTGTCCATTTGCATGTCAAACTCTGGGATAGTTCCAGTCCAACAAAAAGTTACAGAATATGATCATACATTGCATAGGCCTGCCACAACACCAGTGTCAGGTCCTATCCTAGCAACCTAATACCTTCTCTTTTCTCTTATGAGATTAACTTACTTGAGTATCATTCCATCTTGGGCTCTCTGCAGTTCAAGGTTAAATAGGTTTATATATATATATATTCCATAAATACATTAAAATTCAAAAGTCCAGAAAACAGGAACCATCACATTTAAGCATGTTTCTGACCCTCTTCCTGCCTCTATGCTCTATGTTGAGTGACAGGTGCATATGTCCCAGCTAACAATGATTGAAAGGGAGCCAACGTGGAGGCACTCCAGAAGGAAACTAATTACAGCGGTGTAGATTTCTGAATTTCATTTTATTATTCAGAACTTACAAGCACTTATTTATTAAATATATATATTGTAAGCAGAAAGTAAACATTATATTCAAAATAATGAGAAGGGACTAATCCCCTTTAATTTGCGGTTGAATTTTTTTTCCCCAAACATGCTGACCTATATATAAATATTAACTTGTATATAAATATAACTGTTTTAATAAGGCAATAGATAGGATATCATCTCCTTTTTGGACCTGGACACATTTTGTATCCTGCATTTGTCAACTGATAAACTAATCTTAAATGGAAAGGATGAACATGGCATAACAGCTTAAGGTGAAAGTTTTGCATTCTTCATAAAAGACGATAAGGAATGAATTTTGCTCTTGGAGATCACAGACAAATGTTTGAATAGCAAGGGAATGACTTCAATGGGCTGTTTAATCTAATAGGGCAATAAATAACCTCATGTGTCATTGGAATATTATGAACTCTGTTTGAAAACAGTTTACCCTCTTGTGTATTGTGCCGTTGGTATGCAATGTTGCATATTAAGAAGAAATATTATTTGCTATGAATATTATCTAAGCAGTATCCATGCTTAAAAATATGTGATAAAAAACTGGGATTTAACTCAATTATATGTTTTACTTTTCATTTAGGAAATGGCTTAAAATTACTTGTTTAAGTGAACTTTGTTTAAAACAGGCTACGTCTGCAGACCCTATCTCATTAATATAGGTAGCAAACTTTTATCAACCTCTTAGAAATATATATATATACACTGATCAGCAACAACATTAAAGCCATTGACAGGTGAAGTTAACAACATTGATCATATCGTTACAATGGCACTTCTCAAGTGGTGGGGTATGTTAGGCAGCAAGTGAGCTATCAGTTCTTGAATTTTATGTGTTGGAAGCAGGAAAAATTGGCAAGCAAAAACATCTGAGTGCATCTGACAAGGGCCAAATAGTGATGGCTAGACAACTGGGTCAGAATATCTCCAAAATGACAAGCTTTGTGGGATGTTCCCGGTATGTCGTGGTTAGTAGCTACCAAAAGTGGTGCAAGGAGGACAAGCGGATTCAGGGTCATGGGCACCTAAGGCTCATTGATACACATGGGGAGTGAAGGCCACATCGTCTGGTCTGATCACACAGAAATGCTACTGTAGCTCAAATTGCTGAAAAACTTAATGCTGGCTGGGATAGAAAGGTGTCATAGCACAGTGCATTGCAGTTTGCTGCTTATGGGGCTGCGTAGTCGCAGACCGGTCAGAGTGCCCATGATGACCCCTGCCCACCACCAAAAAATGCTTCCAGTGGGGATGTGAGTATAAGAAATGGATTATGGAGCAATGGAAGAAGGTTGCCTGATCTGATGAATCATGTTTACTTTTAGATAAGGTGAATGGCTGAGTGCATGTGCATCGTTTACCTGGGGAACAGATTGCTTGTAGAAATTTACCACTAGTGAGTGCTTTGGACCCACCAGGCTTGTTGTGGCAAGTAACTTTCAAGGTTTGACTAGTAGCCCAAGACTTGAAAATGTAAGCTCCGTATATATACCTCGCAGGCATGTAATTCCCACTAATCTCTTTGTAAAAATGATAATATATGATCTACACTGGTGTAATGTAAAGAAATGTAAATAAAATATTTGATACCTTTTGGCCTAGGTGTGCCATGTACATATGATAATTCCCACCCCTCAGGCCAAAGTTCGGCAGCACTCATATCGTCAAAATCAATGCATAATTGGTCCCTCTCACACACATACAGGATAAACTTACATGGAAAGCTCCCCTTTGATTCACATGACAAGTAAATGTTGTTATGTCTACCACTTACGTGAATGAATAGGTGGCCCAGGGAAATATTTTAAGGTGGTGTTTTTCATTTTCTAGATATGGAACTGATTCAAATCTAGAAGTGCTTTGAACGTCAGTAATTTTCTCATGGAAGGAAAACAAGATGATATCGTCATTACATTCTTTGGTTTCCAGTAAAAGAAATACGATCCCATATAGTATACCATCTTATATTCTTTAACCCCTTAAGGACCAAACATCTGGAATAAAATGGAATCATGGCATGTCACACATGTCATGTGTCATTAAGGGGTTTAAGGGAAATTATTAAATGTATAAATGTGTCACATACTTGAGGCACATGAATATTTTGCAAAGGAAATGTCACATGTGGTTCGGGCCCTTTTCTATAGTGTGATGCCAGCTAATATCCATTTTAGATGACTCAGACCTTTTGTGTTTTCCCCTATTTCCCATGATTCCTTGCAGGAGCACTTTTTCGCCACTGCATTCTCAATTGCTAATTAACACTCTAAGTGCAGAATTGTCAGTCTAGAAAAGCTGGTGAACCCACAACCTCCGAAGACAAGAATCACTGCATGTTTGCTTCAATAATTTTATAAACTTTGAGGGAAACTGTGGGAGCTATTGTGGGTAGAAGTGCTAAATAATAACCATTCACCATGGAAACCAATTGAATGTATCTCAATGTTTAGCACCAAGGATAGCTCCTGTTGTGCTTTGATAAATCTCCTTCTGTGTAGCTGGTCGTGAGTGTTATTGAGACCCTTTTGTGTTGCAGAAATAAGGTAGAATTAAACGTTACAGGTCACCTTCAGATGTTTTTTTCCTTTTAACACAGAAGGAAGCAGGTTTACTCTGATTTCTAGATTTCTAACTCAGATCATATCAAAATATAGCATGTGTCAGTATAAAATTATACGACAGCCATTCTATCCCTTTAACTAACTATATACTCATGTTTGGTTGTTAAGAGCTACAGCTTTGATTTGCGTACATGAACTGACAGCGATCTGGATGGCTGGCATAAACTGCATCCAAATTTGGATACATTTTATCCTGTTCTCGTGTGAATGTTTGGGTAACATGACATTTACAGTCATCCTAAGGCCTCTTATGTGGATTATGATCCATGATGCAGAGTTTTAGATTATTTAGAACAGAATCATTTGTTGTTCCCTAGCTGGTATGATCATCCAGTAGTACAGTGAACATCCTAAGGAAGCGAAGGAGAAAGGTATTTGAATTGATTTCCTGTAAATCATTTCAACAGAATACATCCATGTGGAATGCTGTTGATACCTTATAGAGTCAATGCCCAACTAAGTTGGGTAGTAGGCAGTTCTCTTGGCAAAAATGGGTGGAAATCAACATTAGGAATGCGTGCTAGTGAATAGTATGCAAATGATATCCATTTTTTTATTGAGGTTATTAGCAGTACTAACCCGAACAGCCTGTTCCCTTTCATCCCGCCAATGAAACTCTGGCCTGTTGACTTAGCAGGTCAATGTAGTACATGCCTGGATCTAATGCCATACCATCACACAAACCCTTCTTGCTCATGCCCATTGCCGTCTGAATAGCTTGCGTACATCATACATGTGTTTTTCAGTTCTAGGATTGACTTATTTTATTCCCTTCATCTTCACCTATTGGAGTTAACAGATTACTTGAAGATAATTTTTGATTCTGAATTACCAACTCACTGTTTCATGATGAAATCTTATATTTGAAACTTATAAATAAAATAAAAGAATATATAGAGTATATTTAATGAGCTATGAATGAGCAACACACTCAAGTGATTTTAGTAAATAACTCTTGGTGCATTACACAATAATGATATCCATCAGTAATTGTTAATTCATGTGTCTGTGTGTGTGTGTGTGTTTGTATGTGTGCCTGTGTGTGTCTGTGTCTGTGTCACTGTGCATGTGTCTATGTGCTTTGTGTATCTGTTTGTCTGCATGTGTGGAGAGGGTAATGTATGGGAGGGGGAGGATAGAGGTATGGGGAGATGGCGGTGGGGGACGTATGGAAGTGGGAGGATAGACGTATGGGGGGATGTTGGGTGTAGACATATGGGGGGATGGGGGGGGCTTAGGGCAATTTTCCTGTGTTCCTGAAAATATTTCCTTCCTCAGTCTATTCTGTATATTGGACTTTACTGAGCTATATCTGCTTGTTTTTTTGTTTGTTTTTTCCTCTGGTACTTGACAGACTAATGTTATCATCAGACATCTTCCTTCATTGTTCCCAAGACAGTTCTCTAATCATCTGTTTTATTCTTTATTGCTGCTAAAAGTAGAAACATGTGATTTCAATTACATATTTTGCCACACAAGCAGAATTTATCTAACTAAAATAAAAATCTGTGACATGTTCCCAGGCCCCAATATTTTAACCTTGATCCTTGCCCTGTATGTGAGTGGGTAGAGAGCTAATATTTTCGTATTTATGGTAGCTTGTATTAAAATGTTTCAATAAACAATTAAGCAAGTGCTGTGTGACTATGTTTATTCAAAATTCTAAAAATACTGAAAACAATCATCTATTGCAACCCCATCATGCCCTGATTTTGGTCATGCCATCTCCATGAAGTATGTGGGCAGTGAGGCACTGTATGTGAATAGTCATGTTTTCTGGATTACTGTACAATATGTATAAGGACTATCTAGAACTGGGGTAGGCAGCCTTTTGCAGTCCAGATGTTGTGGCTACATCTCCAATAATGCTTTTAGAGCCATAATGCTGGCAAACGTAGCATGGGAGATAAAGTCCACAACATCTGGGATGTCGAAGGTTGCCTACGCCTGATCTAGAAAATCTGATTTGAAGGATTATTTAAAGAACTGTGCAAATACAAGCATATAGTGATTGATTCTGTGTGTGTGATGTGATTAATCAAATTAATTAAATACAGCGGATCACGTACAGTTGAATGCTCTTGAGTTCAATATTCATTCATTCCCCTGTAGAAAGGCTAATGTAGCAGGAAAACTTAATCTAACCTGATAGGGTCTCCTGAACCTTGTGTTCCTTTCTGTGTACATGCATACAGATATATCTTGATCAGTGGTGGAACTACTGCGGTCACAGGGGTTGCAGCTGTGACCAGACCCGTCACTCTAGGGGGCCTGGACGCCCTGCAGACCCCTGCGACCACGGTGCCTGCCGGCTATGTAATGCCATGTAATGCGTGGTATAACTGCCGGGGCCGTATTGAATGGGCCCATCGGGTGGCCCATGCTGTTAGGGCCAATGGATGGCAATGAATTGCCAGGGGGCCCAGTCAGTGCTGCGGTGCTTTAACAGTGCAACCGGGCCCACTTTCATGACATCACAGCTGGGAGGAAGTGATATGTCTATGTGTCTGTATATGTGTGTCTCTGTGTTTGTATGTGTCTGTATGTATGTGTGCCTGTGTGTGTGCCACTGTGTATGTGTATGTGTCTATGTGCGTGTCTGCACGTGTATCTGTTTGACTGCATACGTGGGGGGATGTATGGGAGGTGTATAGAGGTATGGTGGGATGGCGGGGGAGGGAATGCATGGAAGTGGGAGGGTAGATGTATTGGTGGATGTTGGGGGTAGATGTATGAGGTGGGGGGGCCAAGGCAATTGTTGCACCGGGGCCCCATGGTTTCTAGTTAAGCCTCTGATCTTCATATCTCTTTTTAAACATACATAGACAAGCACTTACACACACATACACACACACATATATATATATTGATCAGTCACAACATTGAAACCACCTGCCTAATATCATATAGATCCCCTTTGTGCTGTCATAAGAGTTCTGATGTTTTGATGTTTTGAGGCATGAACTTCATAAGACCTCTGAAGATGTACTGTGGTATCTGGCACCTAGACAGCAGCAAGTTGTGACTTGGAGCCTCCATGTATCGGATTTGTTGTCCAAGCACATCCTATAGATGCTCAGCTAGATTGAGATCTGGGGAATTTGGAGGCCCAGGCATAATTTTGAACTCATTGTCATGGAACTACAAAGTATCCACTCCGCATATAAATAAATCAAATAGGTTTGAAATTACTTATTTCAGAATTCATTGACTTGGTCAGATTTGTTTGATCAAAAGCCAGTTATTGTGTTGAATACAAAAACAGTTGAATATTAAGGTTACTTAAATTACCGTCGTGCTTCAAATCCAGTTGAAAACTTAAATGTTCTTTCACGCTTTATAAAAATAAACAATAATTTAAAGTAGGAACAAAAGGTGCAAGCTCTAGTGAGAAAAGCCAAAAATGTTAAACTAGCATACAGGACATCTTGCTTACATTCTATTATAGTACTGGATCTTAAAGGGACACTGTCATTTAACTGTTTTCCTGTTTTTTTTATTTTTTATTTTTTTATTTTATTATCCTCGATATTTAATTTTAGATTTTTTTGAGGTCATAAAAAGAAAGTTTTATATACAAATCCACACTTCTATATTTATTTCTATCAAAGCAAATTAAGGTCTCGGTTTAAGCTGTTCAAATGGTTTAATATGTTTGGATAAACTTTTTAAATGATTTAATATCTTGAAAAATATTTAAATACTTAAATGTATATTTTTGCTATGTTGACAATTGCTTTCATAGAAGGCATGTTTTTTATATCTGAAAAAATATATTTTCAATGTTTATTCAAAAATATTAAATCATAACTATAAATATAAGAGCATTTAGCTTGTCTTTAATATGTATCAGTATAGCAAACCACTTATTTATTGTTTCATTTCTCATACTTATGTCCTAGAAGGTGTTTTTTATAGAAATGCTGCTTCAATGCTCATCTCTTGTACAACAGGTTTTATGAATGAACTCTGTTGATCAAAGGGTAAGTAGAAATTTTAGGGGGCACATAGATGGCTGGTTTTAGCTGTGAACCCATGTATCTTCTTGGTCATGCCAATGTCATAGACATTTGTCATGCTAAGATGTCTGGATGTCTGAAAAAGGGGAATACACAAAAACAACAAAGGTTTTTTTTCAAAAATACCATAAAGCAAAGAAAGAATAAAGGAAAACTGTAATGTATTTCTAAAACATAGAGGATGACAGATGAAAGAAACTACAAATAAAATAAATGACCACTTTTGGAAATCTCACATGGTTAGTAGTGCTGACAAGTAGGATTGTGCATGGGAAAATAAAAAAAATTGTGAAAATAGAACATTTTTCGGCACACCTAAAATTTATGTTGGTTTGGTTTTGCAAAATTTCGGTAACAAAAATCTGAATCAGAAATGAATCAGATGAACCAATAGGGTGCAAAAATGGGTCAATCACCATACTACAAAATATATACATAACTTAATATTCTGTATACATTTTGCAGTACACTGAAATGAGCATTTTACCACCATTTAGTTCACAGCTCAAGTGAGAAAAAGTAACCAACAGGAGGGAAATTAAATATTTAAATTAAATACGTATAAATATTATAAATATATAATATATTAATATTGTTTTTTACTGCTCCTTCTTTGTATCCCTTTAGTTTACTTCTCATTTGATGTGTGAATAAAATCAACATTTAGTGATTGTCCCTTATCAATCATCTCTTTGTTTGGTGTAATGGTCAGATTCAGAATTATGAGTTAAAACGTACATGGTCGGCTGTTGCGCGACTCGTTTAGTTTGAGTTGAATACATTTCGGCTAAGAGTTAGGGAATTTGACCAATCACTCAATCGGCTCAAATTCAGGCGAATTTCACTTTGTCTTGAAATGAATCTCTGAATCTATCACAGATGATCAAGCAAAGGTGGTGAATGCAAAAGTAGATTATTTTTGTAGATTACAGTAACATCTTTTGGTTTTAATTTCAGGCTGATACAGATCAATATGCTAAGGCAATCATGTTTACAAATATTGTTTCATATTTGTTTAATTCAACCTAATTTAATGTGGCCCAATATTCTTTACATTTTGAAAAATCCTCAAATCGTAGTATGAATGGAAAGTTACATTTTTCTGGAAGTTGATTTCAGTGATCCTGTACTTTTGACAACTGCGCAACATATGTGACTACAGATGTTATGTGTCTTCGAATTTATGCACACATAGTTTCCATTTGTAACACAAGATATTCTTAAAAGGTTTCCATGGTAACCAATGTTTTGAGTCAATATTTTTTAAATGAATGCCAGAAGTTCTCGATGGGTATGAACCAACGTGTCTAATTTAATCTTATGTTTTAATGGTAATAGAGGGCCTGCTTACAATTAGTCACTGGATTTTTAAGAACCTCATTTAATATTCTGTCAGTACTATCAGATCATCTCTGGTGAAAAATCTCAAATCTGTTAGTGGACTTGCCCACTGCATATAAATATCAACCAGTTCACCTTATCAGTACAAGAATTTGCTTTTATCTCTTAGAATGTAGAATGCAATGCAGATGACATCAAACCATGAAAAATAGCAATGCTGCAGCCCCAGCAGATGTCTAACATAACAAATAATAAAAAAATAAAAAAAAACTTACAATAATATGATGTATACAATGATTTAGATCAGGAGCTAGATAATGAGAAGAATGTCAAACAAGTTGCAACAGGGGCTGAAGCTTTTCTGCACTCAAACCAGTGTTTATTAGCCATAACAAAAGTGATCGCACAAAAGAGCACTACTTCTAAAAGGTACTCTTATGCTAATGATACGATATTAGTGCTAAAGTCATAGAGCTGATGCCAAGCACGTTAGCACTGAAACATAGCATGGGTGCTGCTTTGACCCAGTTTTGAGTAAGGAAGTACTACTGTTTTAGGTCTAGATTTTCATTTCTTTTATCTATTGTATAAATTATAAGGCTCTGTGAAATTTTGCTCCTGTCCCTGATCCTACCATTGCTACTGACTCAAATCAAACCTATAAGAATTATCTCAAACATGTGGAATCTGAAAGCAATGTTTTGTGCAGCCTGCCTGTTATAATCTCCGTCTTATAATAGTGATACAGTCTCATCAATCAATTTCTAAGCTGGAACTAAGGATGCCTGGTGAACCTCTCCTACAACTTGTAAGATCTTCAATCCCTAAACACTTGAATGCATCATGAACTATTATAAAGTCATTTCAAATTCAGATCAAGTCTAGTTCCACCACTGTATATATTTATAAGTACTTATTTCAGTTTTATTTCAGTTTTAATCCAATATTTTACCTGTCTCAATTTGGCTATGTGACTTTATTTCTATGTTACCTATGCAATCTTATTGTGTCTTCCATTTAATTAGTGTGATATATTACTTATTATATGGCACATGGTATGCTGCCAACCCTCTTTCCATTGTTATTATCGAAATGTCTCATCTTTCTACAGAATTATTGGTTGGCCACCTCGTTCTATGAAACTATTGGTTGGCCACCTCTTACAATGGCACTATTAGTAGGCCACCTCTTTTTGTGAGACTATTGGTTGGCCACCTCTTTCTGTGGGACTATTAGTTGGCCACCCCTTTCTCTGGGACATCTTTCTCTATGTAACTATTGGTTGGCCACCTCGTTCAGTACAACTATTGGTTAGCCACCTCTTTTTATGGGTCATGGGTAGGCCACCTCTCTATATGGACCATTTGTAGGCCACCTCTATGTGGGATTATTGGTTGGCCACCTGTTTCTTTAGAACTAGTGATATTCCACCTCTTCATAAATGACTAATAGTAGGCCACCTCTATTTATATGACTAATATTATGACAACTCTTGCTAAATGACATATAGTACAATATAGAAGTCTACATGGCTAGCGTTATCACCTCTCTATATATGAGTATATAGGAGCACATCACATCACCCCTATCTATATGACAAATTCAATTACAGTGATTTCTACATAAATAATGCTATAACTCCCATTTCTTGGTGAGAAACAGTCAAGTGCATTTATCTATGTTTTTGAAACCCTCTTTCTTTTTGGCTAGTGTTATAACACCACTTTCTACATGGATAGCCCTATAATCCTTCATTGTATGTGCTAAATATTGCACCTTTTTCGGTATGATCAGTTTATTCATCTATTTCCATGTGACCCGTAGACTGTTCTGTTATTACTGGTAGCATACCATATCTTTTTGTATGAAATGGTATTCAATATTTTTTGTAATAATAATATGTATGTTTAATTAATTACATCCCACTACCTGCTGTTTTAATTATGATTATTCCAACTTTATTTATTTTCGATAAAAAGAAAATCTGTCCTCCACCCTATTTTGTAGGTCTGTGTTGTCCCCTTCTAATAACCTTTATGGGTTTTTTTTTCATTATCATTTTTCATTGTTTTTAAGCATATTCCCAATTGTTTGATGAGCAGTTATATATTTTTTTTATTGCTAGGTTATTTTTATGTGCCTCAACCAATTAAAAATGCTTTTCTCTCAGTTTTTATTAGCGTTTGTTCTTCTATATCTGATATGTAAAGTACCCTTTGAAATCACCTTTTCGTTTGATTTGCAGCCTCATGTATATGTATATACACCTAACCTCATTGCATCACAAATCACGAAATACATAATGTATATAATATAGACCTCATGTTTATCTTCCTGTGGGTAAATATTATGAATTTAATAATCCCAGTAAATAAATCCTATTTAGCTAAAAGTCTATTCAAATATTTCTGTAGCTTTACATTAAAATGCAGGTGACATTTTGAAGGGGGTCTGTGCATCTCGGCATTAAGATTTTTTAATGCATTGGAATATGTAAAACGTTCGTACTATTAAAACATCACTAACATCTGCAAGAAATAATTCATTTAAGAATCCCTTTGATGTTATTCCCAAGAAATGACAGTTACCTCGCCCAATATAGCTTGTTTTATGCGGCTCACTTTTTATATCAAACTTAAATAATTTCACTAAGATCATTTCCATAGCTTATGGGCAAAATGTGAGTTTTTATTGTGATTACATTTGAGTTACTACCTCTGCTGATTGGGGTGATGCCCTCATGCAATCTTCGTTAACCAACTTGAGGAAAGTCAATTCTGAAATTCATTGAGTTTTTTTTTTTTTTTTTTTATCAAACTAATGATTTGATGGGAGGAAAATATATATGTAAATTCTAAAGCAGTCTATCCTAGCTTAAAAAATTGAGAGACGAAAAAAGCAATCTTCGGTAGAAAGTAGCTCCCAAGAGTAAAACTACCTGATTTGCAATTCCAACCGCAATATAGATTTACTTATTTAATATCAGATGAGGCTAACTTTTATAGATTATTATAGTAGTATGGCTTTAATGATTGCTTGCTGTATAATTTTGCTACGCAATTCCGTAACCTTTGAGATAGTTATCACAAGAGCGAAAAATGTAAAATGTTATGATCATCCTATGAATGGTTTGGATGTGTTAACATTATCAGTGGAAAACGTATTTACTCATCCATCAAGATAAAATGTTATTGTTCTTTAACAAAGGCGCTGTGATGTCTTCCGAGTCAAGACTAAACTTTAAGATTAATATGTCTGCCTGTGAATTTTTCATAATGTTTTATACTAGAAAGAAGAGTTATGCTGCATTTGAGAAATTCGGTGGGTGTTTTAAACACCGCGCTTAGAAATAGTTTAGGTTAAGTGTAGTAGTTACATATACTTTTGACAATTATTGAGTAGGTGTTGTAGGAAAAATGTTTAACATACTTAAGGAATTTGTCATGTATGTATATGTAGAAAAATATAAATATCTTGCTGATGCTAGGAGTCTATAAATTCTCATATCCAATAGAAAAAAGTACTATAGCACTATTTAGCATAAAACATGACATTGTAGACCTGTCACTTGTGTAGATGTTGAGTGTGTGTACCTTTTTGAAAAATGTATGTTTTAAGGTATAATTCTAGATAACCATAACCTCTGCATAACCTTAGAATGAATGGCCCCATCCCCTGTTATTGGTCAATCTGTTGTCAAGTGGTTTGAACAAAACTGGGGCACCCATCACCCTACCCCCTACTCAGCTACTGTTAATGTCCACAACAGTGTTACTCTTGTGAGTGGACTTTATAGAGTATTTCAACTTCAACTACCCATTTATATTTTATAAATGTTCTCCATAACTTTACTGTTTTTTTCTCTTTTTGAATCCTTTGTCCATGTTTTTTTAACAAAAATTCCACCCTCCCCACCAAAAAAGCTATTTGTTGAAAGATGAATCACTAAGTATGTTATTGTTAAAATTTCTTTTATAAAATGAGAAATGTAACGAAAAAGAAACGTAATGAAATCATTGTCTAACTATGGTGCGTATCTGTTTCTTCAGATTGATTTTGAAGATGTGATTGCCGAACCTGAAGGAACACACAGTTTCGATGGCATCTGGAAAGCCAGTTTCACCACATTCACCGTGACAAAGTACTGGTTTTACCGCCTGCTGTCGACACTCTTTGGCATACCGCTGTCACTCATCTGGGGCATTTACTTTGCCATATTATCATTCCTCCACATCTGGGTAGTGGTGCCTTGCATACGAAGCTACTTGATCGAGATTCAGTGCATCAGCCGAGTCTATTCTATCTGCATTCACACCTTCTGCGACCCACTGTTTGAGGCGATTGGAAAGGTCTTCAGCTTTGTTCGAATAACCGTTCGCAAAGAAGTATAGAGGGCGTAGGTGAACAAGCTGTCATTGTCCATTTGTCAGTTTTCAACTGCAGCAAGTTTTGAGCGCTGTCATAACATCAACGAATCTCTAGATTAGTTTATATCCAGATATTTATCCTTTCAGAATTGTTATTGTCATCGAGTGGCCTGTATGTTGTGAAACAGACCTGATCTTGTCTCCGCCACGTGTGAAATACTGTATTTTTTTATGTTCCATCCATGTAAAATGTAACCTGTACAATGGTGCAGCACAGTGACTGAGAAAAACTACAATATAATTCTGTGTGTACTTGTTTTATTTTGTTAAAATGTATTAAGCTTTTGCAGGGGAGAGTACAATACAACTTGGCAAGTTTCTAACAGAATGTTCTCCCCATTGTAACATCAGCTAACAGGCGTAGTTTATTTTGACTGGGTTGATTTGAAACCAGTATTGCAAGCACAGACCTGGATAAATCAGGGATTGTGTAATATGTAAATAGCTTTTAGCATTATCAACTCACACAGACACACGCATATATAGAGAGCTCTGATTGAACAATCAAAGGGCAACAAAAAGCAAAAAAATGCTTTACATATCAAGGGTTAATAGAACAGCGCACCTTTAACAAAACAGTTTTTTAAAGTTCTTTAAATCTGTCTGACCTACATTGTCATCAGTGAAAGAGTGTTAGTCTTAACAAGATTAAGCAAACCATGTGAATGATAATATATATTTTTTACATGATTTTTCTCGAAAATACAAAGTGTTTCTGTATACACAAATTACTAAGAAACAGCCTTAAAACTTTAAAGGAATTGTTTCATGCAGAACCTTTAAACCTTGTAGAATTTTATGTGAAACATACGATAACCAGAGAACTCTTAAAAGTGATCCAAGGGGTAACTAAATCTTCTTTTAATGTATATTTAATATATTTCTACAAAGTATCAGCTTCTGCTAAGAAATATATGTGCGTATACATTTACTGTATATAGATATATATACATACATTTATATACATAAAATTTTTATACTACTCGATTTTATCAGCTTTTCTTTGAGACTCAGCAGGGGATTTACTGCGAAATAAGGCATCTTGCGTGAAATATTCATGAGCCCCCTGAATCAACCCATAATTCTTTGCATATAACATCCACATACACTCAAAGCAGAAGTTGGCTTCTATTTTTACATCTCCCTGCTAAGTTCTTTGTTTAGACCCATGCATTTCAACATAGCTTGTTAAACACGCAAAGACAATAACGTTTTCATTGTTAGCTTGACATTCTTTAACCTTTAACAAAAAGCTACCAAACATTTCAAGTGAAAAAAAAAAATCAATTCTCTAAAGCTATTGTAAAAATAAACGTCTGTTATAATTTTACTAAGCCAGCTTGTTTAATATATATTTGGTATTTTATTTTTATATGTTTAATGTTTTCACATTTTGTGTGCTTTTCTGTTACACTAGAAAATATATATATTGTATACATTTTACAGACCACTGCTTGATCTATAAGCTTATGTTAGTCATAGTACTTTATCACTTCAGCAACCTTCTCTGAAGTCTTTTTTTTCTGTGTAAATCTAGCACTAAAAGCTGTGTTGCTATATACTGTCCTTATGTACTTGCATACATACAGACAATTCTGTGATTGGAGTTGATTAGACCCAATGATATTCTATGAGCCAACACATAATTTAATCCACCGCCGTGTTTTAGATCCACATGAATTCTGGCTATGTTTTAGCATTAAGGTTTTATGATGTGTTGCATATGTAATACGTTTCTAACAAATATTAGCTGTCAATGGGATATATTCATCTATAAAATGTGAGTTTGTGCACAGCTTAATTACAGAGTATTTGTTTGTATGGCAAGCGCTAGAAACAAAATCCAAGAATGTTTTAGGAATCTACAACGTTAAGAAAATACAATTTTGCTGAAAAAATTATGATTTTTGTTATGTTTTTTTTTTTTAATGATTTACTTATTGGTAGTGAGTCCCAAGAAGTGCAAACCCAGCATTTACCCTTTCTGATTGTACAAAACAACTAACCCAACATGATTTTTTTTCTGACACGTTTTTTAGTTAATGCTCCAGTACCATTAAAACAGTAGATTAACTATTTGACAAAGCAAGAAATGTTTTAAATAGGCAATTTTACGGGTGAGTCCATTTATTTCTAAGTAGCTTACCGGCTTTTTTATTATCTTTGTGCCATTAGTGCCTTAGATTTATAGAACATTGGTTGTTTTTTACAGCCCTGTGTATAATATAATATATATATGTAAGAGAAATTATTATGAATTATAGTCACCACTAGAACCAATTTAGAGTTCCCACATTATCTCAATTCACTGTTATTTAGGAGTTAAATTACTTTTGTATCTGTTAATGTAGCCCTAGCCACACCTCCCCGGATGTGACTGACACAGACTGCATGATAACAAAATGTTTTTTATTTTTATTTTTAATCAGATGTCAACTTAATTTAACAGTTTTTATCTCCAGCTATGTAAATTGAGCTTTAATTACATACAGAAGGCTCCTGCAGGGTCTAAAAAATATTATCAAAGCAGAAGATAAGAAATTCTAAATTAAACTGAATTTTCAACAAAGGAAGTGTAAACATTAGATGACTCCTTACAGGAAGTGTTTAGGGAGGTGTGCCTAGGGTTGCATAAACAAAGTGATTTAACTCCTAAATGGCAGAGAATTGAGCAGTAAGACTGCAGGTGCTTTGTCTATACACCACAACTGCTTCATTAAGCTAAAGTTGTTTTGGTGACTATAGTGTCCCTTTAATGTCTAAAACGTAACTTTTTCTAAATACACAGTTTTCTTTCAGGCCTAAACAGGAGCTTTTACGTTACTTATCCAGTAACAGTTTTATCTATTACAAAACATATTTCTTGATCAGCATCCAATTCCCAATTACTCTAGATCCAAGCAGTATACACATACAGTACTGATATTTTTTTTTACTAATTTTGCATGTAAGGCTCAAGCTACAGATGTGCACAAAAAAAAGTTAAACGTGTTAGAAGTGAATTATTAAAAAAAAGTTATTTGTTTCACCCTACAATAAATATACAAAGATATTCCTCAGTGTTAATTTTAGAACTTCCTAAACAAGATTATGCATGATTTAAAGTACAAGGTTTGACGGCTGGGCTATAACTAAATCATGAGTTATGTTAACATAGGATTTAATAGCATTGCTAACCTTCCAAATTCTTCCAAAGTGTGAAGGGTACGGCCAACGCCCTCTGTAAAATCTACATATAAGGCAATGTTGAAGCCAGCTGTAATTTTAATAGCATACTTTGAATATACTTTAGTCCTGTTTTGTTTTATTTTTGGCAACAAATTAATTTTTTCAGATATGAGATGTAAAAAGACTTAAACACATATATTTGTTTCACTGACTAACCATGGTTTTTGGTGAATTTAGCAGTAATTACAAACTGTATCATGTCTCGCCATGTTCTTTCTCTTTATTTATCTCTTAAACAAAAATAAAATAGACCCAAAGCACTCTGACATTGCATGCACAATATGTTATCAATAATTCAGATAATCGGGTTTTACAGTCAATGTGCACATCCATGGGCAGTTGTGTGAACAAACACAGATGATCAATTAAACAAAGTGAAACAAAAGGGTAAATACAGGGAAAATGGTGGAAGTAAATAAATGACATAGCGGTCATCATTTTCCTGTATGTGTGCCACAGACACCGAGGGGCATCTGATTCCACTATTGCCCATAGTAAGACTTTTCACATTAAAATGTGCACTCTGTTTTAGATCTTACTTCCTCCTTAATGTCTAAGTAAACATTTTCTGGTCACATTTTCACATGTAAAAATATTGTGATTAAACATTTTCTCAATCTATTTCTGTACAATTCACCATGTATAAATGTTTAATAGACACACAAGAATCATTTCCACTTTTCTGAATCTCTGGCACGCACAGGTAAGATTATAATTATCTCTGTCCTCCCGCTTTATTACTTGACCTGGATATTAATTTAATTAAGAACTGCAATTCGTCTGAATTTGAATTCCCAAACTCTGAGCCGAAATGTAGCCAAATCATGATTCAAACCAAACAGGCGAGCAAGTTAATTTTTATTCAAGATTCTAAATTCCACCCCTGGCTCTAAATAAAGGGACAATGCGGGGGCACATATATATATATATATATATATATATATATATATATATATATATATATATATATGTATATATATATATATTTAATATACATGTATAGTTACATAGTTACATAGCTGAAAAGAGACTTGCGTCCATCAAGTTCAGCCTTCCTCTAATATGTTTTTGCTGTTGATCCAAAAGAAGACAAAAACTCCAGTTTATAGCGCTTCCAATTTCGCAACAAACTAGTAAAAAAATCCTTCTTGACCCCAAAATAGCAGTCAGATGTCTCCTTGGATCAAGCAGCTATTACCCCACTAATTAGAAATGATATCCCTGTATGTTATGTTTTTGTAAGTATTTATCCAATTGCTGTTTAACCCATTAAGGACCAAACTTCTGGAATAAAAGGGAATCATGACATGTCACACATGTCATGTGTCCTTAAGGGGTTAAACATCTGTATAGACTCTGACAAAACCACCTCTTCAGGCAAAGAATTCCATGTCCTTATTGCTCTTACTGTAAAAAACTTTTCTTTGCCTTAGATTAAATCTCCTTTCTTAGGTGTGAGCTTGTGTCCTATCTATAGCCCTGTCTATGAATAGATTTCCAGATAATGGTTTGTACTGACCTCGAATATATTTGTATAATGTTATCCCCTCTCAGGTGCCGTTTTTCCAAACTAAAGAGATTTAAATTTGTTTAACCTTTCTTCATAACTAAAATGCTCCATTCCTTTTATCAATTTTGTAGCTCTTCTCTGCACTTTTTCTTGTGCCATGATATCTTTCTTTAGAACAGGTGCCCAAAATTGCACAGCATATTCAAGGTGTGGTCTTACCAGCGATTTATAAAGAGGCAAAATTATATTTTCATCTCGAGAATTTATGCCCCTATTTATACATGACAAAACCTTACTGGCTTTAGGAACGGCAGATTGACATTGCATATTGCTGCCTAATTTGTTGTCTATAACAATTCCCAAATCCTTCTCGTGTGTGGTTATCCCTAGTTAACTACCATTTAGGGTGTAAATTGCTTGTGCATTCTTAACCCCAAAGTGCATAACTTTGCATTTCTCTACTTTAAATTTCATTTGCCATTTTAGTGCCCAGTCCCTATACCTATATAATATACAAATATACACTAGTTTACTGCTTCACCTCTTTTTCCCTCTATAGGTTACTTTTTCTTGCTTAATCTCTGAACCAAATGGTATAAACATGTGCAAATCAGACTACTGTAGAGTACATATATAATAGTAATATTATGTATATATTTTGCAGTACACTCATTGACCCCTTTTTGTTTACCTGATTTGTCTTCCAGAATCCTTTTTAGTAACGAAAATTGGACAAACTACCATATGGCCAAAATTCAGCCATCCAAAAAAATATATACCATATATACTCGAGTAAAAGTCGACCCGAATATAAGTCGAGACCCCTAATTTTACCCCCCAAAACTGGGAAAACTTATTGACTCGAATATAAGACTAGGGTGGGAAATGCAGCAGCTACTGGTAAATTTCTATATAAAATTAGAGCCCCAAAAAATTATATTAATTGAATATTTATTTACAGTGTGTGTATATAATGCATGCAGTGTGTGTGTGTATATAATGCAGTGTGTGTGTGTATATGAATGCAGTGTGTGTGTATGAATGCAGCGTGTGTGTGTATGTATGAATACAGTGTGTGTGTGTGTATGAGTGCAGTGTGTGTATGAATACAGTGTGTGTGTATGAGTGCAGTGTGTGTATGAGTGCAGTGTGTGTGTGTATGAATGCAGTGTGTGTGTATGAGTGCAGTGTGTGTGTGTGTGTGTATGAATGCAGTGTGTGTGTGTGTATGAGTACAGTGTGTGTGTGTGTGTATGAATGCAGTGTGTGTGTGTATGAGTGCAGTGTGTGTGTATGAATGCAGTGTGTGTATGAATGCAGTGTGTGTGTGTATGAGTGCAGTGTGTGTGTGTGTATGAGTGCAGTGTGTGTGTGTATGAATGCAGTTTGTGTATGTGATGCAGAGTGTGTTTGTGTATGTGATGCAGAGCCTTGGTGGGGGGTGGGCATTTTATTATTTTTTTAAATTAATATTATTATTTTAATATATATATATTTTTACATTATTAACATTTTTTATTTTATTTTAATATTATTTAAATCTTTATTTATTTGTCCCCCCTCCCTGCTTGATACATGGCCAGGGAGGTGGGCTCTCATTCCCTGGTGGTCCAGTGGTGTGTACTATGCAGGAGGGGGGCTGGCAGCGAGCTGTAACTTACCTTTCCTGCAGCTCCTGTCAGCTCCCCTCATCTCCGTGCCGGTCAGCTCCCACTGTAAGTCTCGCGAGAGCGGCGCGGAGCGTTGCCACCGTAACCCGTGGCAACGCTCTGACCCCGCGGCTCTCACGAGACTTACAGTGGGAGCTGACAGGGAAGCTGACCGGCACGGAGATGAAGGGAGGTGACAGGAGCTGCAGGAAAGGTAAGTTACAGCTCTCTGCCATCCCCCAACAGGACCGCCGGGCTTGTAATGAGCCCGGCAGTCCTGATCTGTATTATGGCAATGTAAGTTGCCATAATACAGACAGTGACTCGAGTATAAGACGAGTGGGGGGTTTTCAGCACAAAATATGTGCCGAAAAACTCGTCTTATACTCGAGTATATACGGTATATATTATTTTGGGGAGAGATGTTTTGGCTATGCACAAGTCTATTTATCAGGTTGTTGCTATAATCATAAACCTCAACGCAAAATGTAACATTATCTTAAATGTACCTGCTTTGCTAATGTGAAACTATAAGGAATTGTTTCTTGCTGCAATTGGTTCAATTACCAATCCAGTAAGGTCTTTATTAGATTTAGAATTTGACATGTTTAGATTGGATGGCCATGTAATGAAACATGTTATATGAAGGAAGAACCATCTCCCAGATATTAATGGAACCTTTAAAACACCGTGTTCTGCACAGATCATTTTTTTAAACTATGATGGAAATGAATTCACCACCTGACACAGAGTATTAAGATGGCTTGCGGTGATAAAATCAGCATATGTAGTATGCGATGTTTATCTTCTAAAGTACAGTTTGTAACATCATAATGCAAACTTTATAAAATATTAACCAAGTCATAAGATTTGTACATGTCTATATTTGGAAACTTGGTTACATAAAACATGCAGGAAATAAACTTAGTAGATTGAGTCCAGACTCTGAAAACTAAACAAATACCGTGGAAGGTCCAGTTTCAAACAGAATCTCACAGCTTGCAGCTGAGATTGGCTCCGTTACCATAAAACCTAACAGTTCTTTAATCATACAGGGTTATGTTACCCAAAGGCATTCTGGAATCTTTCACAATCATTTAGCAATGCCCAGAAAAGGAGAATCTGCAGCATGAATCTTAGAACACTCTTTGGCTTTGCAAAATTTAAAATAATTATTGGAATCAATAGACCAATTTTAATATGTGGACTCAAGCTCCCATGTGACATATCACAAAAATCCTTTCACATGTGTATTATGGACAGTGAGTCAACCTGTGCATCACTGAGCCTTAAACATGTTTCACACATATTTTTCCTGAATAAACTTGTTATAAGTTAAAAGTTTTAAAATAACTACTTTAAGAATCCCGTTTATATTGGTAGGTATTGAGAAATATTTGATTGAACCGTTCTCACCAGAACAAAGTGTATGTGCGTGCTCTGAGACATGCAGGTGAGGGAGTGGGTTGGAAAAGGGAGGGACGAAGTGAAAACAAAATGAACCCATATAAAGAAATGTAGGGAGGTGGGGAGGGCTCCCAGTGCTACCTGCAAGAGTAGAAGATCATCGAACCTATCGCTTGCACACAATGCTCACTAACAACAGATGTAATTTTTGCACAGATTTAAAATTAGGCTTAGTTTTGAGCTAAGTAACATGGGACATGAGTGTATCTAACCCATGGCACAAAAGTGCAAATATCTCTGCAAGTGCAGCGTTTCAAGCAGAAATTCCTACCATCATGACCACTTCTAAAAGCAGAAGTGATCATGGAGGTTGGAGTAACCTGTTAGAGATGTTGGTAATAGCAGTAAGTTCATATTGATCTATTTAGACTTAACACGTTGCTACATTGCTGTACATAGCATAGAGGTGTGTGTTTTGCAGCCCCCAATTCTTTTAATGTTGCCATTTCCTATGTTGAAGTAATGGTGGAAGCTGCAAATTGCAGGTATGTCCTAGTAGTGACCATATAGGAGTTCTTAAACCCTAACACTACCACACCTACACTAACCTGAACAAAGAAAAATCATTTAATATAAAAGTATAAATAAATAAATTAATTAAAAAACACCATGGTGAATGGTATGTATTAAGAGAAATTAATATCATTTACAGATTCTAGAGATATCCCTAAACCACTTCACCTTTGATCTTGTCATTAAATGATGTCTCCAGAACCATCAACACCATGATTTTTCCAATATGCATGCTTCGCCATTATGGATGCTTTCTTTATTGTTTCTATCCTCTCTCTAACCCTGTGCTGAAAGCTAAGGTGAAGCTATCCTCTTTTCAGACATTACTTTCATTCCTATACCTTCCGTCCTTCTCAGATACCTCCCAACCTTCTCAGAAAAACCTTTCTTCTCACACCTCTCCAGTTGTTTTCAGTCTTTCCTTCTCATTTTATCAATAACCTTTTGTTTCTCAGACACTTCTTACTGATGAGACCCTAATTTTCCTTAACACGTTGACCATTCTTAATAGACCCTCATCCTTAAAATCATATTACTGTATATGTCATATTCTTATCAAATTCCAACATATTTATAAACTCTCCCAAGCAATATTAGCAACCCATTCTTCTCAGCCACTCAGTTACTTCACTTCTTAGATCTCCTTTGATTAGGAATGCTGATAGTCCCTCCATTTCCTCATGGCCCATAAGCAATCCAGGGGATCCAGACCATGGTTTTTGTGTAGTAGAGAAAGAGTTAGAAGGATACTTCAACCATTTTTTGTTGTTCATTTAATTTTTTTAGGTCCCCATAAACACTAAAATGTTATTAAAAATGCTAAAACTTACCTGTAATCCAGCACTGGGTGAAGCTCCCGATGAGGTTTTCCACTCTCCATCTGATGTCATGACAGCCATCGTGAGGTCCAGGCAAAGGCTCACAGAGAAGCATTTGATTGGACCATTTAACTGTCTCAAGAGTGCATACACGTGTACTGAGCCGGTGAGGAGAGGGAGTGAGAGAGAGAGAGGGAAGAAAAATAAAAATACATTTTAAAAAAGAGTATAGGGAAGTAGGAGGGCTTAACTTAAGGAAGGAGGTAGGGAGGGGAGACAAATACTTCTCCTTCCAGACTCTGCCTACAAGGGAGAAGCTAAGTATGTCCATTGCCAACATGACATATTTTTTGCACAGAATTGACATTTGGAAGTCCAGAACAGAGTTCCAGCTGTCACAGTCATGTGTGTTGGTGGTGTAACAAAGTCCCGGTACACAAGTGCAAAAATCTCAGTATGTTAGTGTTTCAAGATGAAATGATGCACATAACTTCTATCACCATGACCACTTCTAAAAGCAGAAGTGGTTATGGTGGTTGGAGTATCCCTTTAAGTATGCAGATAATAAAGTTTCCTCTGAGTGTAGAGTTTGATAGATTCCCTGCTGTGCTCTATGCCTTCTTTTTCAGGGAATATACAATATTTTAACAAAGATCTATTTTAGAATCAGCCCTTACTTACATAGATTTCCCCAGGTTTATGGGAAAATCTTGCTAATTTAAAAGCCAGTGTGTCTGATTCATATATTTCTATATAAAAATAGATTATTTTAAAAAATAAATTTGTTAATGTGGTGTTTACTGTTATACCCTTTATATCCTTCATTTGTAATCATGCATTTTCTAATCATGTAACGTCCAGTTTCACCATAAATACCAAGACCACTAATAGTACAATAATTAATCTGCGTATTGCGGTTATTAACGTTTTACCATGCGTAATTTTTTCCCTTAGTGTAAGATATAACGAGTTTCAGCGTTTATATCTATGTAAAATTGCAAGTGCGCTGGATATTCGCCTTGACAGCCGCCAATTCATAGATGTCCTTATTGAGAAAGAACAAATAAACAAATGCCCTGCGGCATATTGACTGACCCAAGTAAAATGATAAGTGCTTTTTAAAAAGTTAATTGGAAAGAACTACCCTGCATTTAATGCAAACCACAGCAAACATGATTATTCCTTTTCATTAAATTTTCTCGCACGGTACACAACTTAAAGCAGTCCATCATTGTAAACTTGTTTAAACACTGAAAATTGCTTTCTGCGGGTGTGCATAGCGGGTTTCAGAAGCATAAAATAAACACCAAAGTGATGGGGAACTGACAGTTAAAGTAAGGACAGAAATGAAACTGTCATTCTCTGCTCTATCATAGCCGCACTACCTTTCAACAAACGCAAAATGCCCTTTAACCCTTTAAGGATATGGCACTTAGAGAGTTAAATGTGTGCCGCGGTATTAATAAAGTTGTCTGTGTGTGTGTTAGTGTTTCTAGCTTACTGAAATACTGACAATTCTATTTATACTGTTATTTTTTTTCTTTATCCTCGGAGATGTTTGTTGAGAGGCATGGCTTGGAAACATACATTTAGATGAATGCAGTTTTCAGAATAATACAAACTGATTATGAGTTTTCATCCAAAAATGAATTAATACTTTAAATATTCTTCTTGAACATGCATTCTTATTTGAAAATTAAATAAATTCATGCTGTTTATTTTTTCTTTACCAAATATCGTTGGATGATTGAAGACTAGTGATGTCCCGAACGGTTTGCCGAACGGTTCGCCACGAACGGTTCGCCACGGACTCATCATTGAGTAAACTTTGACCCTGTACCTCACAGTCAGCAGACACATTCCAGCCAATCATCAGCAGACCCTCCCTCTCAGACCCTCCCACCTCCTGGACAGCTCACTAAGAATGCAGCTTCAAAATGGATGCTGTCCAGGAGGTGGGAGGGTCAATGATGAGTCCGTGGCGAACCGTTCGTGGCGAACCGTTCGGCGAACTGTTTGGGACATCACTATTGAAGACCTTTCATAATGCTTTAACTTTTCCTGGTTTTCATTTAGTCTATATAGCAGTATTTTGCATGCAGTAGATATATCCCAGATCATATTTAAAATATATAACACATCCTTGCATTGTAGCTAGTAATATGGTCTATACATTCCATCATTCATTTAAATAATTATTTTTGGTGCTGAGTTTTAAATTAAAGTTTTCCTATTATAATCATACATACACACAGAATTTCTAGAAATTGTGTAGATTGAGCTCTATGACAACAGCTGATTGACAGTGGCGAGCAGTAGAATCCTCCTACAAATTGTTCCCCTGCTTATGAGCAAAGCAACTACAGTCCATGCGCTGTGACTTTTCCTCTAGTCTTGCACTATGGCTAGAAGAGAATAGGAATGAAGTGACCAGTTTTACTTGTTTTCAGATGCTAATGCATTGGCAATGAATACAAAATGTTGGCATAAAATTTGTGCACAATAAACAAATTTTGTTCAGCTGAATTATTTAATCTATAGAAAGATAAATTATTTGTTGACCAAATTCTTTCAGCTCAGACCAAACTAAAGTTAGGTCCAGAAATATCTGGACAATGACACAATTTTAATAATTGTGGCTCAATACACCACCACAATGGATTTGAAATGAAACAATCGATATGCGATTGAAATGCAGACTTCCAGTTTTAACCCCTTAAGGACACATGATGAAAATATTCCGTCATGATTCTCTTTTATTTCTGAAGTTGTGTCCTTAAGGCGTTACTTCAAGTGGTTGAACAAAAATATTGAAATAAACATTTAGGAATTCCAACCATTTTCATACAGCCCCTTAGTTTCATCTGTCCAAGGAATGCAGATCCATAACTTGGCTGGCTTTTTTTTTTATGTTTTATTGGCAAAGTCTAATCTGGCCTATCTATTCTTGAGACTTGTGAATGGTTTGCACCTTTATCTACACAAATTCTCATACATTTTAATGGTGACTTCTGTAGATAAATACTTTGTAAAGTATTTCCAAAAATGTTAAAAGGACACTATAGTCACCTGAACAACTTTAGCTTAATGAAGCAGTTTTGGTGTATAGAACATGCCCCTGCAGCCTCACTGCTCAATCCTCTGCCATTTAGGAGTTAAATCCCTTTGTTTATGAACCCTAGTCACACCTCCCTTCATGTGACTTGCACAGCCTTCCATAAACACTTCCTGTAAAAAGAGCCCTATTTAGGCTTTCTTTATTGCAAGTTCTGTTTAATTAAGATTTTCTTATCCCCTGCTATGTTAACAGCTTGCTAGACCCTGCAAGAGCCTCCTGCATGTGATTAAAGTTCAATTTAGAGATTGAGATACAATTATTTAAGGTAAATTACATCTGTTTGAAAGTGAAACCAGTTTTTTTTTGCATGCAGGCTCTGTCAATCATAGCCAGGGGAGGTGTGGCTAGGGCTACAGAAATAAAGTGATTTAACTCCTAAATGAAAGTGAATTGAGCAGTGAAATTGCAGGGGAATGATCTATACACTAAAACTGCTTTATTTAGCTAAAGTAATTTAGGTGACTATAGTGTTCCTTTAAATCAAGGCCTTTGTTAAATATTAAGTGCTACACCTCTGGTGGTCATAATCTGGGTACTGCGGGATGGTGAGCATTGTGCTTCTTCTGTCTCTGGCCAGATCAGAAAATTAAAAATAGGTATAAAGTGTAAAGATAATATTACATGAACTGGGAGTTGATTTTGCATGGACAATGTATAGAGATAAAAAAAAATTAATCTAAGTGGACTTCATCTATCACGCATTTTACCGATGACAAGTCCACTTTAATTTTACAGCCAAAGACGAACATGCACACTATCTAAATTGTTTAAATTGTTAGCAAAGTATCATATAAGTAGGTATAGTGAGAGATTACACATCACTGTACACACAAGAATGATCATGTCAGCTGCCATGGTAAAGGTCTCGTAGAAAAGAGGCCACAGCTCACGGTGTCATCTTCATAAGTTTTCTAGCAATTATCACAATGTTCTGATGATCTGTAGATTCTAATTACTAATGATAAAATAAAAAAGATATAATAAGAGCAACAGTGTAACTTACTGATACCATTCTGGAAGCGGTGAATCTTAGCAAAGCAATTACCAATATTGTGTTATAACAAGATAATAGTTATATACTTGGTGTATCATAGGGACTTTCTCCTATCCATGAATAGTGGAATTGCAATCTGGTCTCTTTTATAATAAAAAAGGAATGATAATGATAAATATATATATATATATATATATATATATATATATACACGTTCTTGCAGCCTTATTTGTGAAAACTGTTCATTTTACCATTATTTCTGGGAAACTGCAGCCGCAACATAATCATTAATTAAGACGTCAATGTGATTTTAGTTTATTCGTTCTAGATGATCCTGTTTCTTCATTCATTTATAGCTCTAGTTAACATACAACCACCCTTATTTATTCATACTCAACAAGTACAAATTTAATGTTTTAAATTTATTTTTTGAGAAAAAGGTTCTGATATATGTGAATGAAATTAATCACATTTGTAATTTGCCACTTTTTAAAATATGTGAATCACACAGCCTCCCTACACATAGAGTCTCATTTTAGCTTTCCTTATTGCAGTGTGTTTAATTTAAAATTTCTTATCTAGTGCTCTCTGCTAATTGCCTGCTAGAGTCTGTAGAAACCTCCTGTATGAGATTAAAGTTAAATTAACAAAGGAGGAGATAAGAGCTTTTAAAGTAAACACATTTTTTTCATGGTAGCTGTGTGAGTCACAACCAGGTGTGGTGTGGCAATCACTGCATACACAATGGTATCTACCTCCTAAAAGCAGAGATTTGAGTAGTGAGACAGCAGGGGCATGATCTATACCAGGGATAGGCAACCTTTTAGCAGCACTGTGCAGATATAGGATTGTGATGTCCCATAGCGTGCCGATCCTATTTTTTTAAATTGAAGTGTGTATGCTGCCGTATTCTGCTTGTGTTATTTTTACTGTAATTGCTTTGTATCATTTTATTTGTGCGTATATGAGCTATTATATTGTGTATGTGCATTAGTAGTTTATGGTATTGTGTAAGATACATATGAATGTGGGCTGTGTATGAGGGCTGCTTGTGGAATTGTGTGTGGATGGATATGTCACATTGTGTGTTTGGTAGTGTGTGGGGCTGTTTGGGGTATTGCATGTGAGAGGCTGCATGTGGGGTTGTGAGCATGTATGTATATTGTTGTGGTATTGCGTTTGTGGGGATTGTGTGTGTGTGTGTGTGTGTGTGGGCTGTTCATATTATTTGTATGAGGGGAGAGTTATTCTACATTTCTGTGTATATCTAGCATGGGTGGGTTCCCTGGGTTCCGGTAGGGGACCAGGTTGGCCAGGCACAGGTCAAGGACAGGAGCTGCGTTAGCTGTCGAGGGCTGCTCTACTACAGTGTGGATTCCCATTCACAAGTGCTGGGAGGAAGTGATCTGAGATCACTTCCTCTATGTGCTGCAATGCATAAATTGAGGTTTGTCCTTCACCACCTCTTCGTATTAACAGATATCTGAAGTTTTACTGGGACTCCTGATAGGCCAGAGTGCGTTTGGCTCTAGCAGCCTTGAGTGCCGTGCAAAGACACCTTGAGTGCCGTGCATGGCACTAGTGCCGTAGGTTGCCTACCCCTGATCTATACACTTAAAAGCCTTCATTATGCTAAAGTCGTTTTGGTACTTAAAGTATCCCTTTAAAGTTGTCTCTGCATACAGTGATACATTTGAAAGCTGTTTGAAAAGTATTTGATTTTACTCTTGAGAGCACACTAAAAGGATATTGGAACATGGGTCACAATTTGGGATAATCAGGCAAAAAATGAGATAACAGAAGGGTATAATATACCCACAATGACCATAGCTAATGTTCTGAAAATATAATACCGTGGACTAAACTCTGAAAAATAAAAAAAGAAGTTTATCATTTAAGACTATATTTAGAAATCAAAGTTCAGCTAAAAATAATATTGTAGCTTCCATTTAAACATGGATTGGCTTGTACACATTGAGGAGGAGAGGCTCTCGATCAGTTTTAACAATGGTAGAATGTTGATAAATATGCCAGAGGGAGTAATAACATTTAGAATCTCTGAAATTGTTTTTCTTACAGTTGGAAATGTATTTTCCTTCTCTGCTTTGTGTTTACATCCTGTGGGATATCCAACCTCACACCCTATCCCTACAAAGACGATACCTTAGGTGTTAGGTATATTGTTCATTATTCGGATGTTTCATAATTCTGTTTACCTTTAGCTGTTTGTTTAATATATTTATGAACTAAACCAACCATGGAAGAGTACAAGAAAAGTAAAAACAACCAAGAATTTACAATCATTACTCCATCTGCATATTTAAATATGACCTTTGAGCATTTAGATATTATGCACATAAATCAATGTTTCTGATTTAGCCCCAATCTACTATATAAAGATATATAATAAATTACCGTATATGCAGATATTTCAAATAAAATACAAAAGAAGGATACAAAATCCCCCAAAATAAGTTGCTTAAAACTATGATATAATTTAATCAAGTTTCATTTCTATTCTCATAAAATTGATGGGTCTAAATCTTTTGTTTCAATATCAGTGAAAGAGACCTCGGTCAAATATAGCACCTGTGTTCAGGTGTCCAGCAATCTATAACCCATTCTGTCCAGTGGCTGCTAAATCCATTTCAAGTGTTATTTTTTTGTCAGCTAAACAACAGATTCCGTTCTACCGAATGGATCTGAGCGCTATTTGGACAACTTGGGCACTCAGATCTGGTTATTCAGGGATTTGTGGGGTTCCTGTATATTTTTTATATGTTTTGGGGGTATTTTGTAAAAATTTGTATGGTTTCCTGTAACTGGGAGATAATTGAGTTATCCTTCTATTGACTAAATTATCTCCCAGACACAGAGATGCTTGGAAGGGGTTTGTACCTTTCCCTATGGGACCCCATGCGGGGGGGTCTGTGCAGAAAAGGCAGAGTGTGGCATAATAAATCTCAGTTGACTTCCAGAATTGTGTATCATCCAGTTATTGGGGGAATGGGCTATAATCACTGAACAGAACTTCTCTTCCATCTCCAGAGGACTTCAGCTCAGATATTCGGACTCAAGATTGCAGCTCTGTGTCCTAACAGTGTTTGAGAAACTGAGAAAAAGAAACAGAAACAACTAAGGCATCCTTAGACTGACCCATGCTATTCAACAGCTCATTTCTCCAGTGTGAGTCACAAAGAGGGCAGGATAAGAAATCTTAGATCTTAATGGGATAATTTACTGAGGTCCGAATGGCCTTGTACAAAATAGGTCAAAACCATCCAGCTGTGTAATTTGGAGCATCCAGCCATTCGGACTGCCAAATCTGGACATTGTTCACACTAATTAACAATTTTCGCATTTTGCTATTCAGGCTCCATATGAGCCTAAATTAACTCTGCATTTTATCCTGACCGAACACCGTTGTATGGCTGAAATCCTGGCTCCAATGCTTCCAATTCAGATACTGCCCACGGACAAATAGTAATTCAAACTATAATCCATGTGCAAAAGCCAAGTGAATGATAATTTTCCAACGTGCATCTTGCTAGCATTCGGGTCCAAATTTTGTTAAAACTGGTGCTTGTGAACAGTTCAAATCCTATACTTTGTGTAGGGTTGGGATGTAAAAGCACTGATTTAATTCCGGACACCAAATGTACAAGAGCAACTGTTGCATATCAGGTTGGCCCGACAGAATTTAGACCGTGTTTTGCTTTAGTAAATATGATAATTGCCAAAGCGCTCGGAATTCACCAGATTTTGTACATGTTTCTGGTGTTTAGCGAATGACCCTGTAAGTGTTATGCTTTTTAAACACACTCATATACACCCCTCCCTCCCAAAGTATGACCCTTTATACATACCTTTACCCATCTGTACTCGTTCAGTGTGCACGTACACACAGACTGGCTATGCACACACGCACACAGTCGTATTATTTAAATCAATGTTTGCCAAAATGTGCCAGGAAAGGTACATTCTTCACTGTTTGAAAAATACCCAGAATACTTATGTACAATTAATC